TCCAGTCGTGGGGCCTGAACTCTGGGCCTGAGTGCTGTCCCTCAGCTCTTTAGCTCAAGGCTAGCACTCTACCACTTGAGCCACAGTGCCACTTCTGGCATTTTTCTTTTTGCTTATGTGGTGCTGAGGAATCGAACCCAGGGCCTCAGGCATGCAAGGCAAGTGCTCTACCACTGAGCCAACTTCCCAGCCCTGTTTCAAGAGTTTTATCTAGCCGGGCGCCTGTGGCTCACACCTGTAATCCTAGCTACTCAGGAGGCTGAGATCTGAGGATCATGGTTCAAAACCAGCCCGGGCAGGAAAGTCCATGAAATTCTTCAATAAACCACCAGAAAACCAGAAGTGGCGCTGTAGCTCAAGTGGTAGAGCGCTAGCCTTGAGCTGAAGAACTGAGGGACAGAGCTCAGGCCCAGAGTTCAAGCCCCACTCCCCCAAAAAAAAAAAAAAAAAGGGTTTTATCTAAAAGCATAACCATGTTCAGGTGCCAATGGCTCATGCCTATAATCCTACTTACTGAAAGCCTGAAGACAAATCCAAGAGACTCTTATCGCCACTTGACCAGCAAAAGCTAGAAAAGGAGGTGTGGCTCAAGTGGTGGAGCTCCAGCCTTGAGGAGAACAAAGTGGCTCAAACCTGTAACCCCAGCTACTCAGGAGATGATAGAAATCAGGAAGATTATAGTTCAAGTTAGTGAAATCTATCTCAATAAATAAACTGAGGGTAGTGATGTCAGCTATTATCACAGCCACGTAAAAGGCCACTGGAGGATCACTATCTGAGGTTAGCCTCAGACAATACTTTAAGACCCAACCCCCCCCCCAAAAAAAAAAAAACTAAGACAAAAAAGATCTGGGAACATGGCTCAAGGTCCTATGTTCAAATCCCTCATGAATTTGAAAAGAAAAGTATGATTTATCAAAACAAAAAATGTGGAATAAACTTAGTAATTATGCCAGCCATCAGGAAAAATTCTATCCACTCTACAACAATGTCACTAAAAAGATGTCTATAGTATTTTAAATACAGTTCAATCTAGATTGGCATTTTCAGTTCATGGCTGCCACTCTACCACTTAAGCCACAGTTATACCTGTCTTTTTACTCCTCACAATTTTGAGGAATTTTCTGCCTGAAATAGCTCTGAATCTTGATCCTCAGCTCTCAATCTCCTGATTAGCTAATATTATAAGCATGAGCCATGAGTGCTCAATTATTGTGATCTCATTTGTATAAATTTAAATATTTTACACTTATGTATGGAAGAATATTTACCATTTGAGTATAGAATTTGATAGATTATTTTCCTTTTAAGGAATGCTTGTCTTTATGGCTGGTAACATACTATGTACATAGTATTCTTTTAAAATTCAAATAAACAATAGCCATTTCGTAAGTGTAACTGATACTTAAAAGATGTATCTTTTGGTATTTACAATTACAAGGCCAAGTAAAGACAGCCCCTCATAAAATCACAATCTAATGTTTGCTCTGGAATGCTCTTGCCTCCCTATTCACCCAGTATCAATGCCTCTTTCAGATTCAGCTCAGGGAAGCTGCTTTGGTATCTCTACCATTGTCAAATGCCCTCTTATGGTCATTCTAGATACAACCTGACATGTTTGCATGAGTATCTACTCCCTATCTCTTGGAAATGTGTCCATCTTTATTCAACATAACATTCCAGTGAATGTTTTGTTGATGTCCTTAACACCAGATTTACAAATCCAGCTGCCAGCCAACAGCTCATACACAGCTCTGTCATCTCAACTCACCATGACCAATGTCAAATCATTTCTTTTCCCCTTTCCTACCAATTAACTTCTAAACTGTTTGCTAGCATGTAAACACATAGCCCAGTTACTTAAATCAAAAAACCTTAATACTATTTTTTTTTTTTTTTTGGTCATGGGGCTTGAACTCTGGGCCTGGGCGCTGTCCCTCAGCTCGTCAGCTCAAGGCGAACGCGCTCTACCACTTGAGCTACAGCGCCACTTCCAATACTATTTTCACATTCAATGGCTGTCAGCAAATCCAATCAGCTGTACCTCCCAAACGTACAAGTGGACCACTTTTCTGTGCCTGCCCCACCACTACCCTATTCTACAATACCTACTTCTCTCATTTGGCTTGACTGCACCCTCTGTCCTGTCTATGCCTCTGCAGTCTTGACTCCACACAGTAGCTGGATTATAGATCTCTAATAACAGATTGTGTCACCTCTCTCCTGTGGGTTTTGCATCATCTGGCTGCTGGCTACCTCTCTGACCTAATTTTCTTCTACCTTCCCTGCTCAATTTTTCTATTCTAGCCATACTATCATCACTGATCCTTGGAAATACCAATCTCACACTCTCTGCTCAGACCTGAACACTGCATGGTTCACCCTGCCACTTTCCATATGGTGTCAAAATCTCATCTTCAGAAGCATTTCCAGATCTTCCTATCTCAAGTAACCAACGCTGCTACTCATTAGCTCCTTGTTCTATCTGTTCTTCACAACACTATGATAATCTACAATGTATTTGTTGGCATATTTGTTCACTGTTTCTTCTATTAGAAAGTAAAATTCATAGAGGCAAGGAGGTTGCTCTGTTTAGTGCTGTATCACTGTTGCCTACAATAGTACCCGGAACGGACTAAAACAAATAAACCCTAGCAATGCCTGGGCTTAGAGAACAAAACCTTGAGCATCACATGAATCATATCTCCATACTCCAAATAATACAGCAAGGAGTCCTGCCCAGACTTTATTAATGTAGTGGCAAATATTTCAGGAAGCAGTCCAGGATGATCTGACAATATCCTCACTTCAGGATAAACATGAGTGAGTACTGGACTCCATGTCAAGAAGCCTACTTTGTAATAGAAACTTTCTTAAGAGATAAATGACAAAACAACAACAAAACAAAAACTTGAATACATTTACAGATATGCTCATAAGAGATAAGCATGTAGGATAAAGGGAACCACTAACATACAAAATCTCACAGCTATGAATGGAACTAGGAGATGAAGATCATAACCTCCACTGTCATGAAATTCAAACTAGATTAATAGGTGAGTTTTTCTACTATTGATGTGGAGAGGAGGTTGCTGGTATAACTCAGGGATAGAATATGTACTTTGCACACCAAAAGCTCACAGTTCAATTCCCAGCACTGAAACAAACCAAACCCTGATATGGGTTGTGGTCACTATGAAACAACAGGGAAATATAACCCAGTACAATACTACAGAAGTGACAATCACAGCAAATACCTACCCTTTGCCAGGCCCCAGCTTGGGAGAGCCCACTCCCTCTTTTGTACGAGAAAGAATGTCTCTCACTCGGAGAGCAGCTAGTGGGTCTTTCTCTTTCCCCTTATCAGCCAAGGCAGTAGGACTGAGGTTCAGTATGAGGAAAAGGCTGTTCAGCAAACACCAGGCACCCAACAACTGAAAGTTCTGGTAGTGCTGTTGTAAAAGGCAAAAAATGAAATGTGATTAGAAACATCCTAGCTTAGAAGCTCCTATCAAAATATGAACACAGCAGAGACAAGCTTACCTCGCCACCTGCCCTGCGGGAACTGCTGATGGCTTGTCCAATCATGTCATAGATTTCAAGCTGTCCAATACCAAACAGACACAAAACTCTGAGCAAACTCACATATTTCATTATCAAAGTTAAAGGCTACTCAAATCAATTTAATTTGCAGAATTAAATATCTTCAGGTAATTTTTCAATGACAAAATTCAATCACACTTTCTTATCTTCATCTACAGCTGAATCCCACTTTTTCTTCAGTTCAAATGTCATCTTACAGTTCTGTCCCCCCAATTTAAAGCACAACACCCAGCTTTTCATCAGATGGCTTTTTATCACAACTGATTTTTTCTACGCTTTTCCCATCTAAAATTATCTTGTGGCTGGGAATGTGTCTTAGTAGTAGAGTGCTTGCCTAGCATGCATGAATCCCTGTGTTCAAATCCTCAGTACCACATAAACAGAAAAGGCCAGAAGCAGCACTATGGTTCAAATGGTAGAGCACTAGCATTAGGCACAGAGAAGCTCAGAGAAAGTGCTTGTGCCCTGAGTTCAAGCCCTAGAAATGGCAAAAAAATAATAACAATAATAAATAAACAAAATTATCTTGTTTACTATGTCTCATACAAAAGCATATACCCATTAAGCCCTCCATTGTATCATTTGAATAACTCATCTTTCACAAGGCTGTGTGCCACACTGACTTGCAGTGTTTATATACTATAGAGTCCTAGAGACACAGAAGCATCTATGCAAACAATATATCAAATAACCTCTTAGACCTGTTACCCAGATAAAAGAGTGTGCAGAACTATCTATCTAGGGAGGAAACAAAATTGGCCATATTCCTTCACATCAAGATTTCCCAATGCATGCTCCACTTACACATTTCTGGACAATTGTAGCTGCGTCACTTTCATAGTCTTCTTCTTTGGAGCTTGTGGATCCTGTACGCACTTGCTGAGCACTGCCCACATGAAGAATGGCCATACATGTTGCCACACTCACACCTGAAAAGGAGTATGTATGAACGAACAAATGCAGATCTCAGTCATGAGGCATTCCTAAAAACCCACACAAAGTGAAAGGCAAAACACCCACAACAATTCCAGGATTTGGCTGGGGGGAGGGGGAGACTAGCTCCATAAGGTCAAGATTAAACATAATCCCACAATATAATTCAATAATCACACCCCTGATATTTACACAAATGAACTGAAAGCTTATATCCACATTAAAAACCTATACTTGAATATTTATTACAACTTTATTCATAATTGCCTACAAGTGGAAGCCTTCAACAGGTCTATAGACAGGCAGACTACTATAGCCACACAATGGAATATAATCCAACATCTAATAAAGATGAACAACTGAGCCAAGACATGAGAGAATCTTAAGTATATATTGTCAGGTAAAATAAGTCAGTCTGAAAAGGATAGGTTGGGGTGGGAGATAAGAGGATAAATAAGGTGGGAACAGGGACTTTTGGAGTAGTGATATTATTCTGTATTATACATTAATTGTAGAGCTAGGCGCTAGTAGGTCACACCTATATTCCTAACTACTAGGAGGCTGAGATCTGAGGACTGCAGTCTGAAGTCAGTCTAGGCTAAAAAGTACCATGAGACTCTTCTCTCCAATTAACCACCAGAAAACCAGAAGTGGAGCTGTAACTCAAAGTGGTAGTGCAAAAGAGCTTGTGGTAGTACACAAGCTCTGGGTTTAACCTAACAACCAATAAAAAAATAAAAAAATAAATAATAATAATAGTAATGGATACATGGTACTATACATTTGTCAAAATATACAGAGCTATACAACACAAAGGAACCCTCATGGACTATGGATCAGAGGACCAAGGTCTGAACTTAGCCCACACAGCAAAGTCCATGGACTCTTATCTCCAATTAACTACCAAGAAAGCTCGAAGTAGAGCTGTGGCTCAAGTGGTAGAGTGCTAGCCTTGAGCATAAGACATTCCAGGGCTATTACACGGTGGACTCAAAACTAAAACCAATGGTTTAGGTTATAAAGTCACTTTAACAATAACTTAAAAGAAACAGCAGCAGCTGTCAGGAACCCCCTTCCAAGGCAGCATGAGCAAAAAGAAGAAAAGGGATTTTAGGGCTGGGAAGGTGACTCAGTGGTAGAGCGCTTGCCTTTCATGCAGGAGGCCCCGGGTTTGATTCCTCAACACCACATAAGCAGAAAAAGCTGAAAGTGGTACTGTGGCTCAAATGGTAGAATGCTAGCCTTGAGCTGAAGAGCTGAGGGACAGCGCTCAGTCCCAGAGTCCAGGACACATGACCAATCAAAAAAAAAAAAAAAAGGGATTTTATGGTAACATGGAGAAGATCATTCTTCAAACATCTGACCTATCCCATGCAGACTTCTTTCAATCTGCTTTCCCAGCAAGACTCAAGCATTTCATGCTAAAAATATTCTACACATCTCTTATGGCCTTTTCCTTTCCTGTTTCATGTACAATTAGCCCATTTGCTCTCCACTGCTTGGTATAGGCTCCTTGAGAGCAGGGATTATATACTCTTGGTATCAACAGCACAACAATCTTTAGCACTTTGCTCTTCTTAGTAACACACATGTTATGAAGTAAAATACATATTTAACACAATGCCAGCAGTTAAACAGTACGATCACCTTGAGAGACCATTTCACGTACATGTTGACATCAGATGTTCTTTAGAAAAGGGGAGCAAATAAAGCAGAACAGAGTTGTATGGTTTCATAAAAGTATGAGTAAATGACACTAGACATCATTTCTCACCTGCATACAGACAGCTTAGGCTGAGGACTGTTACATCTTGTAAACGAGAAGGATTGAGAGGTTCCAACACAGGTAGAGAAAGGGTATCCAATGCCATAGTTACATCAATCACCAGTGAATGAAAACTACAAGATAACAGAGAAGATTAACAAATGTCTCCTAATATCACTTGATTCTATGACTTTAAGGAAGGAGGCATACCATAAAAACAAGCCAGGCAACCAGGCACTGTGGCTCACGCCTGCAATCCTAGTTACTCAGGAGGCTGAGATCAGAGGATCCTGGTTCAAAGCCAGACCAGGCAGCAAAGTTCATGAGACTCTTATCTCCAATTAATCACCAGAAAACCAGAAGTGGCACTGTGGCTCAAGTGGTAGAGTGCTACCCTTGAGCGAAAGAAATCAGGGACAGTGCCCAGGCCCCAGAACTGGAAGGAAAAAAAAAAGCATATGATCCAAGAAACACCTTACCCATTACGGACAGCAGTGGCATCTGCCACCGTTGCAGGCATGATAAAGAAGGAATTGGCTAACACTGCATCTTGGAACCGATTGATGTAGCGTAGGAAATATGGCAGGTTCAAACACACACGCAGTAACTTCTCTGAACCACCTGGTTTAACAAAAAAGGCACAACCTCATGAAACAAGCCTGTACTGATGCCTGATTATTCCCAAAGAAGCACACAGGGGTAGGGGGTTTACATAAGCAGAGAAACCAACTGTCCACAGCTGTGGAATCTTACCAAGCTCTTGAAGACTGGCCACATTCTGAGCTATAAACACGTTCTTGGTCTTGATAGCAGAGGCTTGATCTGTGGATGACTGCTCATCATTTTCCCCTTCCACCTGAAGAGAAACACGGGCCTATCAAGACCCTTCTAGAGCCAGCCACTAGTTACACAGAAGGCTGAGATCTAAGGATCATGGTTCAAAGCCAGCACAGACAAAAAAGTCTTTAAGACTCTTATTTCCAATAAACTACTCAGAAAGGACAGAAGTAGCTCTGTGGCTCAAGGGGTAGAAGGCTAGTCTTGAGCACAAAAGAGGCGCAGGGACAGCACTAAAACAATGAGTTCAAACCCCAAGACTAGCAAAGAAAAAAAGAAAAGGAAAGAGACTACTGGGCTGTCCTATGCAAAATAAAGTTACCAAGAGTGCAAATACTCTGCAACCCCCCAGTTAACAATGGGAAAACTCTTTACTGATACTCAAAAAAACTCAAGTTTTCCCCAAGAAGGGAAAAATACACAGCTTTAAATACCATACATGCCATATATACATATATATATGTCATATATGTATATATATATATGTATATATATTCTACAAGTAGAATAATGTCTTTTACAAAAAACTATGTACAACTGCCTTATATTTATTTACATTGAGAAATGTCTAGAAGATGGGTCACAACCTGTGTACAAAACTAACTAGGATGATTTTACTCTGTTTTTCTACCACAGACATGTACATTCCATGCATTGCTAATAGCAGGATATATTTTAAGAGAAGAATCATCATGGAAACACCTCAGAATACAAAGTCACTAGGCAATGAAGTTCTATGGGACCACTATCATATATATGATTCAGCCTTGACCAAAACATCCTATACAGTATGTAAGTTTTTATTACTTTATGTCACAAACATAGAATGCATTCTTTTCCTAATGAAACCATCTTAATGAAGCCCATGAAAATGAGGACATTAGGCTGAACTCACCAGAGCCTGTGGACTAATAGGTGGTGATGCCACAGTTCTAGGGTTGAAAACTGAGGTCAGCTGGTTCAAAAAATTCATCTGTACCTCCTTCTGCCTCAGCTCAGGGTTCACCAGTGAGGCCAGCTCTTTCTGATCTTCCACTACAAAATACAGAAGGAACACCTGAGGAGAGCACTGCTAGCAGGCAAGACTACCATGGAAGTGGCCATGGATATAGCTGTGCAGGTGGTCCTGTGGCCAGGTCTGTAGACAGAACACTTACCATCGGAAAGGGTCTTCACTGTCTGTGGCAGTTTGGCCGATTTCATCATGGCTGTGAAGGTGATAATTTCAGTTCTGTCTAGTCGGCTACAACCAGTGCAGAGGCCTTTGATTAGGAGAATCAAGTGTTTCTGAAAGGAAATTGAAGTATGTCTTTCAGGAGACACTCTTCACTTTGAGGAATTTAAACTGGCACAGAGCCAAATTTAGATTCACACAAAGAATTGCCATTTCCAGGGCTGGAATGTAACTCAGTGGTGAAGGCTACCAGGCAGCAAGAGGCTCTGTGTTTGATCCCCTGTAATACACACACACACACACACAAACTGCAATGAGAAATCCAAACACACTCTCTCTCTCTCTCTCTCTCTCTCTCTCTCTCTCTCTCTCTCACACAAACTGCAATGAGAAATCCAAACATAGATCAAAAGCTAATGGTCCTCACTCTACCTGGCTTGCAGGAACACAGTTGTGGTCACTCGCTCACAGGCAGCTCTGTGGCTATACTCAATTATACAAAGGCAGTGCTGACTAGTGACAGATACTACACAGCCCACAAATGATTCACTTCTGTTACAAACAAAGTCTATTAATCTCTGCACTATGCTATCCATTCTCGCAATTCCAAAAGTTATTCACAGTCATATATTAAAATAAGGGTTAGAAAATGGCCCACAACTCTTACCTGGGACACAGCACACGCTTCATCTGGATTCTCCAGACGCAGAAGAGAAAACTCAATTAGAACTTTACAGGCTGCTGCCACCGACTGAAGTTGGTTCCGTGGAACTGAGAAAGCAATAAACTTTATTTAATCTCAGACTGCTCAGACTGATCTCTTTGTGTCCAACACTCCCAATATCATTCATGTTAGTAATTATTCAGAATCAACAACCGAAGGAGCAAAAAAAGGCATTTTGATATTGATAGCCATCAACTGTTCATGAGTCAATTTACATTATATTTACTGGAAATAACTGCAGCAAAAAATAATTAACCTGGGCACCAGTGGTGCTACCTGGGAGGCCGGAAATGGGAGGATCATAGTTGCAGGTAAACTCTAGGCAAAATAGTTCACAAGACTCTTTCTCAATCCACAGCTCACTGCTGTGGCACATGCTTGTCATACAAAGCTACCTGGTAAACTCAGGTTGGTGCCAAGCCAGCTAAGGCAGTAAAGTATGAACCACTCCGTCTCAACAGAGGCAAAATGGAAGAGGTATTGTTGCAAATCATCCCAGCAACAACAAAATGTCTAGCTTAAAAACAGGTGGATAAGCCAGGCACTGGTGGCTCACGCCTGTAATTCTAGCTACTCAGATGGCTAAGATCTGAGGATAGTGGTACAAAGCCAGCCTGGGCAAGAAAGTCTGTGAGACTCTTATTTCCAATTAATCTCAGAAAAAGGTGGAAGTGGTGTTGTAATGGAGCACTAGCCTAGAGAAAAAAAAAAAAAAAAGAGCTTAAGAACAGTGCCCAAGCTCAGTGTTCGAGCCCCAGGACCAGCCCAAAAAGAAAAGCAGATGAGGGGTAACCCTCAGGCATGCCTGGGCCAGAAGCAAGACAATGTCCTAAAAATAACCAGCAAAAAACTGGAATGGAGGTACAGTACAAGCTGAACAAGCCCAAAGCAAACCCCAAAACAGCCAAAAAACAAACAAAACAAATACACACACAACACTGAAAATGCAAAAATTCAGAAATAACATAAAATAGGACTTGGACACTTTAGGGGTAGAAAAAATTTTGAGAAAGTTGGCAAGTAAAAGTCTCTTCATGGGCTGGGAAGTTGGCTCAGTGGTAGAGCGCTTGCCTTGCATGCCTGAGGCCCTGGGTTCAATTCCTCAGCACCACATAAGCAAAAAGAAAAAAGCCGGAAGTGGCGCTGTGGCTCAAGTGGTAGAGCACTAGCCTTGAGCTGACGGGCTGAGGGACAGTGCTCAGGCCCAGAGTTCAGGCCCCACAACCGGACCAAAAAAAAAAAAAAAAAAAAAGTCTCTTCATATACCCGAAAACAAAGATATGTCACATCTTACCAAAACCAATGAGGACTACACCTTTAAATAACAACTGCTCACCCCTCAAGTACCTAGAAAACTATCCCCAGAAAACGAACACGAGTAAAGTCAATTAAATGCTGTGGACTTTAAGAAGGGAGTGGGACTGACTAATGGTCATGAAACAAGCATCCTAACTAGGAGCTTTTAAAGACTACTCAAGGCTGGAGGTTTGGCTCAAGTGGCAGAACACCTACCTAGCGAACACAAAGTCCTGAGTTCAAATTCCAGAATCGCTAAATAAAGTAAGTATTCCTTTTGTTGTTGTTGTTGGGCTTGAACTCTGGGCCTGGGCACTCTCCCTGAGCTATTCAGCTCATGCTGAGTACCACTGGAGCCACAGTGCCACTTCCAGTTTTCTGGTGGCAAATTAGAGATAAGAGTCTCATGGACTTTCCGTGCCCGGGCTGGCTCTGAACCGCAATCCTCAGATCTCAGCCTCCAGAGTAGCTAGGATTACAGGCTTGAGCCACCAGCACCCAGCTAAGTATTCCTTTTTTTTAAATTAAGCTCCCTGAGCTGGCAAAGGAGCCCTACACAGTGGCTATTTGTCTCCTCTCTTGGATAAACAACATGTTAAATGCTGATATAGACTTCATTAGCAGCTTGTTCATATGCAAACCACCTCCTATTCCCAACTGTTAGAAGCCAGTGACAAAAGCAAGTACTTACTGAGGCTGCAAACTGTGGTAATGTAGTGAGTGGAGAGGGCGACAAAGGATGAGTAGAATGGCTCATACTGCTTCTCATGGTGCAGGATTTCTGACTCACTGTAAGGAAAACAAGACAACCAGCACTGACTTAGTGCCTACTATGTGCCACATACCCCACCCTACCCTGCCCCCCATAGATAGTCCATCAGTATCACTCACTACCAGCTGATGAGCTGGGAATGACATTCAATGCCAGAGTACCTGTCTAACATGGAAAAAGTCCTGATTCCATTTCAGCACACAGAAAAGGAAGAAGGAGAGGAGGAGAGAAAGAAGAGGGAAAAGAGGAAGAAAAGGAGGAGGAAGAGGAAGTAGAAAAGGAGGAGGACTGGGAAGGTACAGCTTAGAGAATCAAAATTAATTATATTGTTCAAAGTATTAGGCTTAGTAAGAAGCAGAGGTTAATAAAGAGAAAACATTTTCAAATTTATTTACAACAAAGAGCTGGGTATGAAGCTAAGCTAAGCACACAGAGGTAAAGAAGTGCAATAAAACCATAGAAGGAAGCCAGGCACTGGTGGATAACACCTGTAATCCTAGCTAATAGCGAGGATGAGATCTGAGGATCTCAGTTCAAAGCCAGCCTGAGTAGGAAAGTCTGTGAAACTCTAATCTCAACAAACTGCTCAGAAAAAGCCAGAAATGAAGCTGTGGCTCAAGTAGTAGAGCACTAGCCTTGAACAAAAGAAGAGGACAGCACTCAGCCTTGAGTTCAAATCCAAGATTGGCACAAAAAGAAAAAAAGAAGAAGAAATGGAGCATGTATGATCAATGAGGTTCATGTTGTCCATCAGAGGTTCTTTTTCTCATTTGTCATGAGAGAGAAAATGAAGCAACTGAAAACATTTTCAAACTCATTTACAACAAAGAAAAGAGCGGGGTATGAAGCTAAGCTAAGCACATAGAGGTAAAGAAGTACAAGTAAAACCATGTCAGGAAGCCATGCACCGGTGGCTTATACCTGTAATCCTAGCTAATCAGGAGGCCAAGATCTGAGGATCCCAATTTAAAGCCAGTCAGCGCAGAAAAATACAAGATTCTTATCTACAGCTAATCTGCAAAGCACTGGAAGCAAAGCTATGTCTCAAGTGGCAGAACACCAGCCTTCAATGAAAAAGCTAAGGACAGTACTCAAGTACTGAATTCAAACTCAGTACTAGCCCCCAACCAAGTTTATAAAAAGCCTCTAAATACCAGCAACACTCAAATTCCTGGTGATCAACAGAAAGCTAAATCCCTTTGCTTCTGCCTCTTGCTTAGTTTTCCTTCACTTCACTGCCTTGCCTTCCTGTTTTTAAAAGCTGAGCTTCTGCTGGGCACTGATGGCTGACACTTATAATCAATCCTATCTACTCAGGGGACTGAGAACTGAGGATCACAGTTCAAAGCCAGCTCAAGCAGACAAATTCAAGAGCCTCTTATCTCCAATTACTCGGCAAAAAAACAGGAGGTGAAGGCCTGGCTCAAGTGGCTGTGCACCAGCCTTGAGTGAAAAAGCAAAACAAAGGTGTGAAGCCACTGGGTATTAGTCACTTAATGAAGAGGAACTGTATTCATTCCCAAAGAAGTCATCGAAGGATGCCAAGAAATGGGGAAATAAGAAAAAGGGGCAGAGACTAACTAGAAAAGAGAAAATATGACACAAGGGATGAAAACTAAGACTTCAAAGTGAAAGCATGCTTTTCTTCAGCTTAGCCAGACTCTTCCTGAGACACCTGCTTCTAACAAGCTTTATAACAATAGCACCTCTGAACCTAGAACACTGCTGACAGGCAGAAACTGAGGCTTTTCTACTCCATAACAAATAAATGCAATGCAGAGTAGAAAGGGAAACAGCAGCTAAGCAGCCAGAACAGAGAAATCCAATTCGATGGCTAAGTGAAAATGGAACTGAGTAGGGTCTGGAAATGTCTAGCTCTTTTGGGGAAGAGATAGGAATCAAAGAGGAAGCAAAATAGATGAAGGACTAACCTTCCTTCTTCCTCTCAGATAAAATACTATAAATCTTCTTTGTAATATGGGAACTCCACAGCCTTTTACTCTTTCTCAAATTCATGAACTATACAACCCATCATGTTTATCTGCTATAACACACAATATACATATATATACACATACACATTCATATATATATATATATATATATATATATATACACACACATATTCATCTTGCTATTGTTAACCAAAGAAATGAAAACTTCCCCTCAGAAAATTCCCAATACTAAGACCTAGAAACATTAGTCAATGGAACTAATCTCACAGTTAAACTTTTTTTTTTTTTTTTTGGTCGTGGGGCCTGAACTCTGGGCCTGGGCGCTGTCCCTCAGCTCAAGGCTAGCACCCTACCACTTGAGCCACAGCACCACTTCTGGCTTTTTTCTGCTTATGTGGTGCTGAGGAATCGAACCCAGCGCCTCATGCATACAAGGCAAGCAAGCACTCTACCACTGAGCCACCTTCCCAGCCCAAACTCTTTTTTTTTTTCAAACTCTTCTTTTGGTGGTGGGCTTCTCTTCCCCTCCCCCCACAGGGTCAATCACAGACTGAAAACCTACAGAATATATAGAATATAAATAAATAAAAATACAGAATATAAGTAATACAAATATAAATACTTAAGACCTACAGAATATTGATATATTGATATAATTTATATATTAATTAAATATATTTATATTCTGTAGAAATACAGCACTATTGCACAACCTTCTCCCTTTCAAGGTTTTTTTTAATGAAATAACTATGCATTAGATAATGGAAATGTCTGTTCTATTAGCCTCTCCCTTCCCAAGTAGGAGTCTTTGCCCTAAATTCTATCCAGTATAAAAAAAAAAAAACAGGGATGGTCAAAGAGGCTTATCATAAAAGATTCCAGGGCAGCCCAGGAAGAACTGGCTTAGATTTTTTTTTTTTTTTGGATGGTACTCGAGTTTGAACTCAGTCATGAGCCTGCTTACTCCACTTGCTTTCCAGATGTTCTATCTCTTGAGCCATACCTCCAGCTCTGCTTTTGCTAGATATTTTGGAGATGAAGTCTAGCAAACTTTTCTGCCTAGGTAGGGCTGTCCTTAAATAATCTTCCTGATCTCAGACTGAGTAGCAAGAATTAAGCATAGACCACTGGTGCTCAGGTGAGAAATATGTTTTTTCTTAATCTATAGTCAATGAAACTATCCAATGCCAACTATGATCACCAATGTTTTTTGCACAATTTTCTTAAAGAATTATCTGTACCTTTACATAGAAGGCTACATTTAGCAATTATACTGAATAACTCAGTATGGCATGTGCTCCATTGGCCAAGTTCTAGCTCTACTTCTGGTCTGGAAAGTAATCGTGTTTATTAGATTTTATCTTTACTATGAAAAAGACACTACACCTTTTTTTTATTGTGAAAATACTGTACAGAGGGGTTACAATTACATGGGCACTACAGACACTTATATGTCTAAATAAACCAGATACTATAAATGAATATGCACTCTCTAAATAAACTCAGAAATCTAATGACACTTTTGAATACCTTCACAATTTACCCACACTAGTCTATTCCTCCTTTGTTTCACAATGTTTACACAGTCAGACAAACTTACAAAACAGTCTGGACCTAAGAATTTTAATGTATCTTTTCTTTAAAACTTCAAATATAAAAGTATGCATGAAAGGCTTGAGATAGAAATTGGAATGGTGGCATACTTTTAGAGTAAGTGTCATCATATCCACATTCAACAAGTCTAGGAGAACTCAGATAAGCAAGCTGCCAGACCAGCAGTAAGAGTGGCCTGAGGGACTAGGACAAGGGAAGAAGAGAATTGTAAACTTCAGGAGAAAACTAGAAGTCCCTGGAGACAAGAAGGGCAGACACCACAGAGAGAAACAGATGGGAATGGTAACATACAAGTAGCAGCAGAGGCATCTAAACATGAGACTAGCTAGAAACAGAACTCTCCAAACCCTCACCTCCAGCATTTATCAGTGCAGATTTTGATCTGGTAATCTCTAGGGTCATGACTAAGAAATATTCCCACATTGAGACCCTTACTTCACTTTTTGGAAAGGCAAATAAAAATAGCTTTTGAGAAAATGATAACAAGGTATAGTTTGTTGGCTCTAAGTCAGAAGAGTCAACAAACTACTGACTCCACACTAAATCCAGCCAGTGGCATGTAAATAGCACATGAAATTCAAATATCATGTCCACACAGATTCCGGAACACAGCTGCGCTCATTCATTTGTGTATATTTTTGTGCATGGCTGCTTTCACACTGCAATGGCAAAGCTGAGCAGTCCAGAAATCACAGGGCCTACAATAATTTATTAACTGGCCTATACAAAGTTTGCTGATCTGAGCTCTACACTGAATTGAACACTCAATATTGTTCTATACCATAAAAAAACTTACAACCTAGATACTTCTTCTAGAAATTTTTATGATCATACTCTTCATACAGAGCCTGAAGAAGACACATAGCAGGCTTTCAAAGTTAACTGTGTAACAAAATTAGAATAGGCCCTTCAAAATTCTCGACTTAAAAAAAAAACAAAACCAAAAAACAAAACCTGTCATTACTCAACACCCATCAATAAACATGTTTTTTTGAAGCCATAGAGACTTACTAGTGTCTACAAAGACAACTAGATTCTCTCAGATCATACAAGGTGTGGGAGGTGCCAGTAGCAATTAACTGGCAAAACTGAAATCAAGTCTGATGAATTTTTGTTTTGGTTTCTTCAAAAGGCCGAATGTGTTTGCCCTAAATATTGCAACTTAACAGAAATGGCCCAGAATATAGGTAGATGAATTACAGGGTTTCCATGAATTGATTTGATAACTTCAGTTCATATCCATAAGAACAAAAGTGACATTCCTCACTATAAGTAACTATGAATGATTCAGGGAAATAACAGTATCCCAAACATTTAAGACAGTAAGAAGAAAAAAAGGCTATTTGAAAGTAGTTTGTTTGTTTGTTGTAGGTGCTGGGGCTCAAACTCAGGGCTTAAGTGCTGTTCCTAAGCATCTTTGTGCTCAAGGCTAGAGGTCTGCCACTTGAGCCACAGAACCACTTCCAGCATTTTCTGAGTGTTTATTGGAGATAAAAGTCTCATGGGGGACTGGGAAGGTGGCTCAGTGGTAGAGTGCTTGCCTTGCCTGCATGAGGCCCCAGGTTCAATTCTTCAGCACCACATAAGCAGAAAAAGCCGGAAGTGGTGCTCCAACAAAGATCCTGAGATCACAGCCTCCAGAGTAGCTAGGATTGATTACAGGCATGAGCCACCTACAGCCCCCCCCCCCACACACAACAGTATTATCTTTAATACTTGTTTATATCATCTCAACATTCTTGGCTTAACAAGTAGAAAATCCATCTGACCTTACCAAAGGCAGACATCATTATAATTTGTTTAAAAAAAATCCCCACCCACAGCACCATAGTGAGTATCTCAAGCCGCCATGGGCCTTAGGTAAATTGCAAATAACAATTCCTAAGTTTATGGATGACATTTAGATACATACACCCCTGTCCACGCAAAAAGCTAAAATGCCCCCATTTGGCAATCGCAGGGAACTGCAAGGTTAGCTAGGAAAATGAAAGTGAGACTGACTTTAAAAGTGCAAGTTTACTATTAAACTAGTGAAGGATCGCTCTGACCCTGCAAGTGAGAGGAAGGGAGGCACTCTAAAACCACCATCTTCTTATGAACACAGTGACTGCCACCACAACGTGCACAAAGGTAGAAAACATCTAACCGCACGCCAGCGTACAGTCCTGTTTGTAAGAGTCTGAAATAGGAGGAGAGAAACAGAGACTGACTCTCTTGCAAAAATACTCTCTCAGACTCACACACTCAACTGCTTCAATCTCAGACCCTCATAGTAGAAATACAAAAGGAGTGCGACGTAAAAGGAAAGTCATCCGTGGTCAACTCGTGGCTTCAGCCAGAGAAACAGCACGTGCCCCCAGTGATTACAACACCGGAGAGACCGTTATTAAATTATGGTGGTATGTCTCCAATTTAAACCCCGGGCTCCGCTCCCGCTCAGCCCAGGGGCACGAGTGCTGGCGAGAAATGCAAACTCATCCACGAGCCTTGACCTTAACCCAGGGGCAGCCCCGGGACCCGCTCCAGGATGCGGGGGCCCCTCTCCGCCACGCTCCCGCCTGCCGGCCACGCCCTCCCTGCCCAGGCGGCCTCAAAAGTTTTGCTCGCCCGGAGAAGTCGAGGCACAGATGATTGACATAGGCTGGCGGGTGGAGCCTCCCACAGCCCCCTCGGCAGCCCGAGCCCGGGAGCCCCAGCGCCACGCTAGGGCGGGTCCCCCCCGGGAGGCCCGAGGCGGCGCTGGAAGCGGCCTCGACGGCCCGGCCTGGCCTCCCCTCCCCCCGCCGCCTCGCCGCGCCCCGACGGGGCCGCCGCCCGGTACCTCTCGATGACTGAGGCCACCAGCTGCGGCAACTCCTTCATCTCGAAGGCCGAGTAGGACGCGGACAGCAGGGGCCGTACCGCCACCTCCCAGCCCGGAGCTGTGTCTGCCCCGGTCACCGGGGACGCAGGCGCCGCTGCCGGCGCCGCTGCCGTCGCCTCTTCACCGCCGCTCGTCGCCATCTTCCGTCGTACTACTGCGGCTCCCTCCGGGGGCTTGCCACCGGCCCAGCGCCGCCTCCCGGGAGGGGGCGGAAGTGAGGTAACCGGACGCGTCAGACTGTGCGCCGTCGTCGCCGGTAAAAAACGCGACGCGCGGGTTGGCCTGTCGGCCCTTCACCGAGAGCGACGTGACGTGAAAGCAGGTCGGAGGCGCTACGCCTGCGCAGAACCTAGCATTGGCCGGGCGGGGTTCGGAAGCGACGGGCTCTGCGCATGCGTGCCGGGCGACTTTCCTGCAGGCGTCGGCTACGTGGCTTCCGGCTCCCAGGAAAGGTGAGTTGGGGACTTGGATTTGGTGGACTTGGGCAGAGCAGCAGGTTAGATTATCCATCCGCGAAGGTAACGGTCCTCGCCCGAGACAGCTAAGGACCAGGAGAAGAGTCTAATCGCATTCACCTACTAGTCGTTCTGGCGCCTAACAGGCCACAAACGTTCCCCCAGAACCGCCCTCGTTATTGTCTTAATTACGTATCCTTATTCTCTTCGCTCCCAAAACTTTTCCATGCTCAGATTCCCTCTATAGTAACCTTTTTTGAGAGCCTGCCCAAGCTGGATTCGAACTGGCAACTGTTTTGCCTGAGCCTCCTGAGTACTGATGATTGCAGTAGTGTGCCACTACGTCCGGCCCTCGGTAATAATCCTGTCGGCTCGTGTTAACACTGTTAAATAGCCAGTTCTTTAATGAATTAATGAAAGGAAGATTATACGTCTCAACTGAGACCCTCTACTCCCAAATAGCTGGTCACAGAACTGAGTTAAATTTTAAAATTCCTAAGAGACATTATGTAACAGAAAATTTAATGAAAGGATAAAGTTTGACAGCAACGACTGAATGGCATAGCTTAAAGATCTCTGTGGAGACACTGATGAGATCTGAGAGGTAGGAACTTTTATGTGCCTTGACACTTCTAGGTGTTAAATGATATACACAGAAAGCATCACTAGCAGATATATTCAGTTTGTTCACTTTCATGATTATAAATTACATTCAAACAACAACCAAAGGTATACTAGGTGCCTCACTTCAGGAGCTCAAAAGCAAGTGATACTTGTATCTTGTAATCCATTGGAAACAGTTAACTTGAAATGAATGCTAACAGATTCAACATTTTGGAAACAATTACATGAATGACCCCAATGTATTAAATGGACGGTGAGGGGCAGATGTCAATTGTCAGATTGACATCTGACAGCTGCAGCAACTCCTTCATCTCGAAGCCCCAGTAGGACAAGGGCAGCAGGGGCCATACCGCCACCTCTCAGGCTGGAGCTGTCTGCCCTGGTCAACTGGAACGCAGTTGCTGCCTTTGCCTCTTCACCACCGCTCTTTGTAAATATCAATTGACACAGATGTCAATTTGTTCTTAACTTTTACAAAGTTGCAAGAAAAGTAATCTAAATATTTTCTGGAAATGACCACTGCAATGCCTTTTGTCACAATTCATAACAAATTTTTTCAGACTGAGGTAAACTGGAAAACACTGAAAAATAGCAGGGTGCCAGTGGCTCACACCTGTAATCCTTAGCTACTCAGGAGGCTGAGATCTGAGGATTGCTGTTCAAAGCCAGCCCAGGCAGGAAAGTCCCTGAGACTCTTATCTCCAATTAACCACCAAAAAAAAAAAAAAAAAGGGAAGTGGCGCTGTGGCTCAAGTGGTAGAGTGTGTGCCTAGAGCTGAAGAGCTGAAGGACAGTGCCCAGACCCAGAGTTTAAGCCCCACGACTGAACGAAAATAAATAAAATTGAAAAATAAACTAGTCAGGAACAAACACAAAAAATAAAAACCACTAGATCAGCAAAAGTTAGATCAATCATTAAAAAAAAACATAGTAGTATATGGATGCATTCCTTTTAGATGACCCTTTAGATTCCTTAGTCATCTTGGTTCAGTAATTCTTTGACCAGAATGACTGTTCCAAGTCACAAGGGACACACTCCTGTCACAACTCTTTGATTACAAAGCCTAGCTATTATTACCGTTATACAAAAACAGGAACTTATCGAAATGATTGAACACCCACCCAGTCCTCAGCCTGGTTGAGATAGTATAAATACCCTCAGGAAAGGGACTGCTTACTACTGATCCCTTAGTTCCCACTCTCTACTTATCAGATTTTTTTCTTCCTTCTTTTGGTTTTGCTAATAAATCTGTTAGTAATAAATCTTCACTGCCCCATTATGAATCTTGTCCGTGGATCTTGTTATCATTGCAATGGTGAAGCCAATGGGGAAAAGAGTGTGTTGAGTTGCGGATCCTCCTCTCCTATTAGGAATACTACTTGCCCCATACTCTCCTCTAGTGGCAATAAAAATAGAGCTGAGTGCTAATGGCTCACACCTGTAATCCTAGCTACTCAAGAGGCTGAAATCTGAAGATCACAGTTCAAAGCCAGCCAGGGCAGGAAAGTCCATGAGACTCTTACCTCCAATTAACCACCAGAAAACCATAAGTGGCACTGTGGCTCAAGTGGTAGAGTGCTAGCCTTGAGCTGAAAAGCTCAAGGACAGTGCCCAGGCCCAGAGTTCAAACCCCAAAACCAAAAGAAAAAAAAAAAAGATTAGAAGCCTAGTTCAATTTCGTAATATACTACAGTTACTTATAATCCACAAGCACTGATTTGCCCATAATACTGTATACCTTATGTATGAGTGGAAGCTGCAAGGAATTTCAAGTTTATAACATAGCAGGAAACCAAGGAAGGGAAGCAATACAAGATTTAAATAATTAGAGTTGGTACTACAAGCTAGGTGCTGTACACCTATAATCCCAGCATTCCCAAGGAAGAAGCTAGCCGAGTCACACTGTGAAACTTTGTCTCACAAAAACAAAGATAAATCCAGGCCTTGATGGCTTACAGCTATAATCCTAGCTCCTCTGGAGGCTGAGTTCTGAGAGAATCATTATTGGAAGCCAGCTTAGGCAGGAAAGTCTGAGAGACTCACATCTCCAGTTAACTACCAAAAAACTGGAAGTAGAGCTATGGTACAGGCGGTAGAACATTAGGCTTCAGGAAAACAGCTCAGGGACAGCACCCAGGCCCTGAGTTCAAACCCCAAGATTAGCACCAAAAAAAAAAAAAAAGATAAAATCAGTATAACCAAGTAAATAGTAAAAGTTGATGTGATGTTCATTAATAGCCAATGTTAATTAGTAAATGCTTACCTCACATTTCGGTAAAAGGGACCTTAAATATATCAGTTCTGCTTAAAAACAATATATTAGCAAAAACAGCCTTTCTGGTAAAGATTTTATAAAATATTTTTAAATTCTTTAGTTCTGCTATTGCTATCTTTTAAGTTTTAATCAGTACAGTTTTTGCTCATTAGACAAGGAGAAAAGAATAAAGCTTATGTGTATTCATCTTTGGGGAATCTGGCTAGAAGGTGTCTAGAAACTCTGTACTATCCTTGCAACTTTTTTATGAAATTGTGTCAAAAATAAAAGTTCTTTAAAGTTTGTGCTTTGCTTTACAGTTAGAAAAACATAATTAGTTTAATGACAGAGAGCCTACTATGTGCCAAACACCTGACAAAAAGAATGTAGTGGAGCTCCCAGGCACAGTTATTCAAGAGGATAAGATCCTTAAGTCTTATTCCAGCCAGCACATAAAGACACTCTATCTCCAGTTAACCAGCCAAAATCCAGAAGTGGAGGTATGGTTCTATAGACATGTGGCTAAAGCAGCAGAGTGCCAGCCTTGATCATAAAGATAAGCAAGTATCTGTATGAGGCCCTCAGATGAGTCTCAGAAATGGAAATAAATAAACTCCCAGTAGAGGTTTTTTGTTGTTTTTTTTTTGTTGTTGTTTTTTGTTTTTTTGGTCATGAGGCCTGAACTCTGGGCCTGGGCGCTGTCCCTCAGCTCTTCAGCTGTGACTAGCGCTCTACCACTTGAGCCTCGGTCCCACTACCGGCTTTTTCTGCTTATGTGGTGCTGAAGAATCGAACCCAGGGCCTCATGCATGCAAGGCAAGCACTCTATACCACTGAGCCACCTTCCCAGCCTGTTTTTTGTTTTTTTTTAGTCACATTCTTTGACTGTGGCTGCCACGTCATGAGGAGCTGCCAACATGTCAGCACATCTACATTGGATGGTTATGATGAATGTTCTCCATTTCCTCAAGAAGAATAAACAGCTAGTCGCCGGTGGCTCACACCTGTAATCCTAGCTACTTAGAAGGCTGAGATCTGAGTATCACAGTTCAAAGCCAGTCCTTGCAGTAAAGTCCAAGAGACTCTTTATCTCCAATAAACACACTAGAAAACCAGAAGTGGCGCTGTGGCTCAAGCGGTAGAGTGCTCACCTTGAGCTGGAGAGCGCAAGGACAGCGCCCAAGCCTAGAGTTCAAGCCCCACGACCAACAAAATAAAAAAAAAGAAGAAACAGACTTAACAGCGTGGAGCCCAATAAACTAAAGGTACATAACTCTTTCTGGTACAAGAGACTGATCTACCACAACACTGTGGTCATGCCCACCATGCAAAGCAAAGGTGCTGTGGTGGTCTTGAAGCAGAGATCAGGCTAGCAGAAGCCAGCTACGTCCTACATATTGACCATCATCAAGGCCAACCTCAGCAGCATCAGACACACGATTCACAGGAACAAGTACCACCTAGATACCCTGGCTGCTGTCCCGTTTAGCCAGAAGCATGTGGTAGTGAAGAGATAGCAGACTGTCCCACTAAAGAGCTCCTGACCTCCACACCCTCAAAAACAATGATCACCAAATTTCTCAACCATCTTAAAAAAAAAAGAAAGTTCTTGCTTTTTTTTTGGTTGGTCATGGGGATTGAACTCTGGCCTGGGCGCTGTCCCTCAGCTCTTCAGCTCAAGGCTAGCACTCTACAGCTTGAGCCACAGCACCACTTCCCGTTTTCTGGTGGTTAATTGGATGTGAGTCTCACGGCTTTTCCTGCCAGGGCTGGCTTTGAACAGCAATCCTCAAATCTCAACCTCCTGAGTAGCTAGGATTACAGATGTGAGCTACCAGCACCCGGCTTGCTAACTTTGCACCTTCTATAACTTCAAGGAACTGAGAAGAAACAGATGTCAAGGGTTGAAGTGAGGCATTGCTGGCCAGAGCCAAATACTGCTGTAAGATTCAGAAAGGCCAATACCTGGGTGGGAGGGTGGGGGAGACTTAGACTAAGATATTAGCCATTTTAAGAACCTGCTTTGAAGCCAGCCATGGTGATCTGTTATCCCAGCACTCAAAAGGAAAGGGAAAAAGATCATGAGTTGAGAAGCTAGTATGGGCCACATAGCAAGATGGTCCCAAAAAGCCAAAACACAGGGGGATTCTCTGAAATTATGTCACATATGTAAATGCAAACTAGAATCTTGGAAATTCATGGGGCTATGCAAGCTATGTTATCACTTCCATGTCTTTTTTTTTGGTGGGGGGGGGGAGGGGGGGGGGGAGAGTTCGGGTTGTGGGGCCTGAACTCTGGGCCTGGGCGTTGTCACTCAGCTCTTCAGCTCAAGGCTAGCGCTCTACCACTTGCCACAGTGCCACTTCTGGCTTTTTTTTTCTGCTTATATGGTGCTAAGGAATCAAACCCAGGGCCTCATGCATGCAAGGCAAGCGCTTTACCACTGAGCCACTTTCCCAGCCCCACTTACATGTCATAATATAAAACAGTCCCAATTCCAGACAGGCCATTTTAAATGGGAGGAGGGGGGAATCCTGTGCTATTCCCTTCACCCACGTTACCTTCAACAAAGTAGGATTTGAGCATGAACAGATGGCTGTTTTTTCTAGAAATCTTAGATGTTCATTAATTTTATTACTAAAACATGTTTTCCTTTCTTCCTTGCTGTAACGTACCATCAGCATATTACTACAAAACCATGAACAATTCTGTTTTAAAATAGCCTAGACAATCATGATTACATTGGTATGTTTCTTTACTAAATACATTTCACTTCTAATCTAAAAAAAGTAAATCTTCCCAGGACACAAAAAAGCTTAGGTAAGAATCATTTGTCACAAGCTTTATTCCAACACTTGAGTGTATCTCTCACCACAGGGCCAGAAATGGCTAACCCATGTTTTGTTCTTCACAATAAAGAAAAAGACCCTCTTTCCCCAAGTCCAAAGAACAAAGAAACATATTAGGATTCCTTTCATTTGTAGCAGAGACACAGCAGCCCAGCCAATCAGTAATGAAACATCCTTAGTATCAGTTCTCTACCCCTACCCTTGCAGAATTTAAAACCTCAAAGGTTACATCAGAATCAAGGATATAGTTTAGTGGTACAGTGTTTGCCTCAGTACCACAGACACACACGTAAAGTTAAATCACTAAGATTTAAAACCTTATTTCAAAAGAAATATATTGACCCACATGTAAATTTATTTCTAACAACTAGCTGGGAATATAGCTTAGTGACCATGCATGCTTGATGTATGAGAGGCCCTGGGTTCAAATACCATACCCAAAAATTTAAAAAAAAAAAATCTAAGCTTAAAATAAATAATAGGATTCTTAAACAGATAGCTTTCTCTTCCCAGGTTGTAAGAGAGTAGGCCAGCCTATTGGTAAAATGAGAGCTTATGAGGTTATCTCTCTTCCCTTGAAATCTCAATCAGAGGTCAGATAATTCAGTAGTTCTAACCAGGCCTCTGCTCTAACCCATCTCAGGAGACTGGCACTAGCAATGTTCACTAAACCAAGACGCTGGATATACCTGACTTGGACAAAGACTAGGAAACCCAACCTAATGAATGACAGCATAAAACCAGAGACTTAGTTAAAATTGTGACACCATGTACAGACTCTTCCATCTGCGTCACACTGGAGAGCAGGCATGAGAGGCCAGATCAGTGCTTGGACCTCAGCTATGGATGGGCCCTAGTCCCCACCATCAAGGCAAAGGCACAGGGTCAAAGTTAGCTAAACTGAAGCAAGGGCAGGGGGTGAACATCTCTAGAAGATAGGGGCACAGAAGGCAGGCAAACAGAAATCCACTTGAACAAGCCTCACAAGAGAGAGACATCAGGTGGGCGCTGGTGGCTCAGCCTGTAATCCTAACTACTCAGGAGGCTGAGATTTGAGGATTAAAGTTTGAAGCCAGCCTAGGCAGAAATGTCTGAGATTCTTATCTACCAATTAACCAGCAAAAAGCTCTAAGTGGATATGTGGCTCAAACTCCAGGTGTGGTAGAGCAATAGCCTTAAACAAAAAGGTAAGGTGAGAGTGTAAGGCCCTGAGTCCAAGTCCCAGTACTGACACAGAGAGAGAATCAGTTGGAGGTCTTTGGGGGGGGGGGGGACATTCTTGAAGACTTTTGGATGAGTAAAGAAACCCAAGCAGCAGCTTTAGGGGAGTCTCTCAGGTACAGGAACTCTTCAGCTGTTCTGGGTGAACACCATGTCTGTCCACAAAAGGTGTCCGATTCCATGTGAAGATACACCTTCTTACACCTCTCAGATAAGAACCCAACACACATACACACACAAACATCACCAAACCATGGTAGCTGCTTGGCTAACTCCCTCTATCCCTCTGTCCACTCTGGCACAAAAACTGGGCCTCTACCGCCAGGCACGATTAAGCAGTTTTACTTGTGCCAGCCTCTTCGTGATCATAGTGGCAAAAACTAGGCCAAAGAGGACACTGCTGATGAGGACATAGTCATAGTCATCCTTCAGGACATCAAACTGTTTGGAGGGATAGACTCGAGTTTGGTAAATATCCAGGCCATAGGCCACCACCTGGAAAGCAGAGACAGAGAATTAGAACAGCAGCCAGTGAGCCTCTGCAACCTCAGACTTAGGTAATTTACAGAAGGAAATGGGATCCCCAGGAGTGAAACCCAAGAGCAGCTATCCCACAGGGCAGCTGTAGCCTCTACTCACCAGACAAGTAGACTCCAGGCCTGAAGGAGCTGTGTAGATACCTCGCATTCGAGAAACTGTCTGGTTATAGTTGATGAATCGCTCTGCATGGATCTGTACATCTGGAGAATATGGGATCAGGTTCTCCTCTCTGCAAAACACCAGCCAGGACAGGACACTGAGAACCGCCAGAGACCTCCTGGTGGCCCTTCCTGAGTCCTGCATGGGTGCCATGCCACATACCTAACCTCAAATCTCCCTCCATGTCTACTTGTACTAGTGATTAAACGTGTGGCAGCTGAAGCCGGGCACTGGTGGCTCACGCCTGTAATTCTAGCTACTCGGGAGGCTGAGATCTGAAGATCACAGTTCAACGCCAGTCTGGACAGGAAAGTCCATTAACCACAGGAAAAAAAAGGGAAGTGGCACTGTGGCTCAAGTGGTAGAGCATTAGGCTTGAGCTGAAGAGCTCAACGACAGCACCCACACCTAGAGTTCAAGCCCTACAACTGACAAAAAAAAAAAAAAAAACTGGCAGCTGAATATAGGAAGGAAGGCTATTGGAGGGAGTAAGACTGAGCTCTGGATTCCTGCCTTGTTCTAAACCAAAGCCTATAACACAGCTGACCAGCACTACACACTAGAGCAAAGTCAGGGCATTTTCGAACCCACACACTGAGCCACTAACCCTGCTTTCTGCTATTCTCAGGAGTGCCTCAGTCCTGCATCTCCAAAAACCCAATTATCCCCCCCACATCTTCCCAGCTTGGTGATCCAAGCACTCTTTCATGCAGTGCTACAAGGCACACTCCTCTGGTCCTTATGCACTCCTTCCTCTCCCTACCTACACCTGTTTACACTCCTAATGAAGAGACTTCAGGTTGAAGGTGAGGAAAATGGATAGATGGTGGTAGGTAATACAAGGTACTGCTGACAGTCAATATACTATTGGCGGCTACACACAATCTGGTCTTTAGGACTTCTGTGGCCTTCCTTCCTGGGAGGTCACCTCAGGCCTGACCTCTCTGCCCTCAGACTTAACCTCAGGGCCATCCGTTATGCTGCCTCTTCCCTCTGCCTGGACTGTTCTCCCCTCAGTATCAGATGGTGAATCCCTTCACTCCAGGTTTTCACTAACAAATTGCCTTTCTAGAGGGACTTTTCCCAGCTACCCATCTCAAGGTTCCTGTGCACATTCTCTACTACCACATCCTTCGTAGCCAATCCCAGTATCCTTTCTTCCCATCTTTACAAATACCTGATCCTACATGTTTTACTTGTTACTGATTTATTGTCCATTTCCGTAGAATGTAAGCTTCAGGAGGACAGAGTTCTTTGTTAGATTTGCTTTCATCCTGGCCCCAGCAAACCACGACAACCATGGCCAATTAAAGACCAAGGTTAAGCAGTAAGGTCAAGTTCCTTATGGCCAGAGCCTTTAGCACTGCCCAAAGGGTCTCACCTGCTTTGTTCTGTTGGGATTTCTGGGCGTCGAGGATCCAGCAAGGCTTTCGGGAGGGAAAGAATTGCTCCAGAAGGCAGCCCAACTGCAGGGGGGGAAAAGTAAGTGTTCACACATATGCAGTCCCATTTAGAATGTTATTATATTCATATTACCAAAATACTATTACCACAGAAATTTAAAATACACTAAAGCCAAACAAACAGGGCTAGAAGCATAGCTCAGCAGTATAACACCTGCCTGGCAAGTGCAAGGCCCTGAGTTCAAACCATAGTCCTACCAAAAATAAATTCAAAAGGATCAATGAACTTGCCTTAAGAAGCTAAAAACTGTAATCCAGTAATATGCATAGGTGTGAATGGAACTCTCAGGACTATAGATGTTAGTTTTTCCATAGGTCAGATCATCCTAAACTACCGAAAATTCAGTTCTAGAAGCAAGCCATGGTTATCAAAGAGTGTGGAAGGTCATGGATCTCCTCATCCCTGTCCTTCCATCCAGTAACAACTCCCAGTAAGCATGGAAGAGCTGGTGTTCACTGCTGTGGCAGGTAATCTGGCAGGGCAGAGGATCAGGCAGTCTTAGACAGCACCAGTTTCAGTAATGGTGATCCAAGTCCACAAACTGCCAAGAGGGCTGGCTTCCTCTTAATTGACAATCAGATAGTAATACCTAGTGCTTGCCAAAGCTGAGAGTCACTAGACTGGACAGGATGAGATCACACCAGTTTCTATCCCAAGTCAGCACAAGTTATGTTGGGAATATCACAGGTAAATTTTCGAAACTACCAGGAAAGAGGATCACCAGAAATGAGGACTAAATGTAAAGTGAACATCTTTTTTTTTTTTTTTTGATCGGTCATGGGGCTTGAACTCTGGGCTTGGGTGCTGTCCCTGTGCTCTTCAGCTCAAGGCAAGCGCTCTACCACTTCAGCCACAGCACTTCTGGTTTTCTGGTGCTAATTGGAGATAAGAGTCTCATGGACTTTCCTGCCCAGGCTGGCTTTGAACCGTTATCCTCAGATCTTAGCCTCCAGAGTAGCTAGGATGACAGGGTGAGCCACTGGCACCTGGCTAAAGTGGACATCTTTATGGTAAACAAAACTAAAAAAAGCTTTGCCTGTGAAATAGAGCCTGGTCACCAACCTTCTTGTGCAGGTGGTCAAACAGCTCTATACAGTTCATCCCCTTCTGTCCCCCAGTCCAGAGGCCTCCCGATACTCACTGAGCAGGTGCCGGCTGGTGATGCCCCGCTCAGTGATGGTGGCTTCCATGGCACTGATGGAGGAGGGGAAGATGTAGGACTGCTGGAGGACCTGGGGCAGCTGGGGACGATCCAAGGAGCTGAAGGCAGTGGCATTGTACTGCTCGGTGCCCTCGTAGAGCTCCAGGGCAGTAAACTCATTGCGCCGAGCCTTGGTGTTCCAATATTGGTACTGCAGGGTGACAGGGAAGCAGCTGAGGCTTGGCCCCTGGATAAGCTGGTAAGGGGAAATACACTAGAGGGCACCTAACACATTTAGCTACAGGTCCCACAGTAAAAACAAATGCCAGGCATGGCTCTGAGCCAGACTGGAAGTGACTATTTTTATCCCTACTTCACTGGTCTCCTATCACTAGTTCAAAGTTGGACAGTGAGGAATAGGAAGAGCTGAGATCAAAACTAGATAGTCTGATTCCGAAGCACCAATACCCCTAACCAGAACTTTGGCTGCCATCCAGGGAAGTTGGGATCCTAAGGGAACACGAAGTAGCAAGGGGGTTTCTGGAAAGGATTTCAAATGCAGGGAGATATCATGAGCTGTCTCATGCTCCTGGTATAACTCCTTACCACCACCCAGTTCTCTGAATGCACGATATGAACAGGGCCTTTGGCTTTCCTCTGCACAGAGGAGTGGATGATGCGTCCCGTGACACCATCAATAAGGAAGATGCCGATGAATGTGCGCTCATGGTGAATATCCGTGCTCTCTGTCACCACAGCCAGCAGGTTGGGGTTCAGGCTCTGGGGAGGTAGGAAAAGCTCCTTTAGAATCAGGATGACACATCATCCGCTTGGCTATATTGTGAGCACACCAGCCTGGCAGAGGAACTAGTTAGCAGTAATCCTAGCTACTCAGTAGGCTGAGATCTGGGGATCATGGTTCAAAGCCAGCCCGGGCAGAAAAGTCCGTGAGACTCTTACCTCCAATTAACCACCAGAAAACTGGAAGTAGCACTGTGGCTCAAGTGGTAGAATGCTAGCCCTGAGCAAAAGAAGTTCAGGGACAGTGCCCATGCTCTGAGTTCAAGCCCCTGGACTGGCCAAAAAAAATCACACACACACACACACACACACACACACAATAACAACCATTAGGTAGTTTTACCATATGCCAAGCACTGGTGAACACAAGTATTTTACATAATCATCCCAAGAGCCTTAAGAAAAATGTATTATATCTGGGGCAGCAAGTATATAGCCCATTGGTAAAGTACTTCTGTGGCATGAGAAAGATCCTGAAGTCAATGCCCAGAATCAAACAAACACACACACACACACACACAAAATATTCTCACTTTACAGGCAATAAATTAAGGCTTTAAGGGATTAAATGGCTTTGTCCAAGACCATGTATGTACCAAGCTCCATGGCTGTGCTATACCTTATAGAGCACACTGCGGTCGCCCATCACCCGGCCCTGGGAATGGACATGCTCGCTGCTGCGTTTCCCCTTCACCTTGACGATCCGCTGTATTTCTGGAGGAATGGTCAGCTCCCAGCTCAGTTCAGTGGTAAGATCCTAGATCAGGACAAAAGTGCTTGTGAGCACAACAGATATACAGGCCTGAGACAGCTGTAGCTGACAAGTACTCCTGTTCAATCTCTGAGGCCTTTTTGCTGGAAGGAATAAGATCAGAAGATCAGACTCCTTGAAATATTCCTATAAAGATCTGACTTGGTGGCTCATGACTATAATCCTAGCTACTCAGGAGGCTGAGATCTGAGGATCATGGTTCAAAGCCAGCTGGGCAGGAAAATCCGTGAAAGTCTTATCTCCGATTAACCACCAGGAAACCAGAAGTGGTGCTATGGCTCAAGTGGTAGAGCACTCACCTTGAGCTGAAGAGCTCAGGGACAGAGTTGAAGCCCCCCAGGAAAAAAAAAAAAAAAGAATCTGGCCTATGAAGAAGTTTTAAACTCGTACTTTGATTAAGAAAAGTAGTAAAAGGCCAGACATAATAGGTCACCCCTCTGATCCCAAATGTATCTATCTATCTATGTCTTAAAAAAAATTTTTTTGTGGGCTAGGGTTTGCCTTAAGTAGTAGAGTTCCTGCCTAGGAAGGACAGGCCCCGAGTTTAAATCCCAACACACACATAAGCATACACAAAATATAAACAACCTCTCAAAACAAATCCACAACCCCCAAAAAACCCAGGAAAAGAACATAGAAACAACTTTTTTATTCGGTCTCCAATAATCCACTAAAAGACCAGAAGTGGAGCTATGGCTCAAGTGGTAGAAAGCATAAGAGATATAGGAGGATCATGGTCTGAAATCAGGCAAAAAGTAACAAAAACCTATCTTTAAAAAATAATTTTTTAATTTTTAAAAAACTAAAGCAAAAAGGGCTGGGAGCAGGGCGCCAGTGGCTCACGCCTATAATCCTAGCTATTCAGGAGGCTGAGATCTGAGGATCTCGGTTCAAAGCCAACCCCGGCAGGAACATCCGTGAGACATCTCCAATAAACCACTAGAAAACAGGAAGTGGCGCTGTGGCTCAAGAGGTAGAGCGCTTGCCTTGAGCTGAAGAGCACAGGGACAGTGCCCAAGCCCAGAGTTCAAGCTCCACGACTGACAAAAAAAAAAAAGGCTGGGAATGTGGTTCAAGTGGTATAGTACTTCCCTAGCAAGTGCAAAGACCTAAATTCAAACCCTAGTACCACAAAAAGAAAAAACAAAAGGCCAGTAAGAAAGATTTTTTCCAAGGAAATGTTACCATTGATTAAGGTCCAGTGGTAACTGGCTAAGTTGGTAGGAGCCTGACGCATCTGCTGTGTGGCTCTGTAGAGGAAAACAGTACACACTGTTCAGCACATAATTCTTCGTCCACAATATGGAGTGCTACAGCCCTGTGAGGCTATGGGCTCATGCCTAGGAGGGTGCTCCTGCTCTCCTGATCTCACTGCCATGAACAGGGTGTGCTCTAGCCAGCAAGGCGTAACAAATATTCTGTAGAGTTCTCTCAACATTTTACTTCAAAAAATGGGTTTCTGAGCTGGGTATAATCCTAGCTACTGAGGAAACTGAGATCTGAGGGTCATGGTTCCAAGCAAGGCCAGGCAAGTACATGAAACTACTATCTCCAATTAACCACTAAAAGGCCAGAAGTGGAGCTATGGCTCAAGTGGTAGAGTACTATCCTTGAACAAAAGAGCTCAGTTTCAAGCCCCAGGTCCAGCACCAAAAAAAAAAAAAAAAAAAGTTGTTTCTATGTTCTTTTCCTGGGTTTTTGGGGGGTTGTGGATTTGTTTTGGGAGGTTGTTTATATTTTATGTATGCGTATGTGTGTGTTGGGTTTTAAACTCAGGGCCTGTCCTTCCTAGGCAGGAACTCTACTACTTAAAGCAAACCCTAGCCCACAAAAAAAAATTTTTAAGACATATAGATAAACACATATAGCTGTTACTACTGTATTATAAATGCTCAGAAAGGCCATGGCCCGGACCCAACAAATGGTAGCAGGGGAACAGCTAGGATGGGGCTGGAAAGGTAACTTACAATTTGCTTGAGGACCTCTGATTCAAAAAAAAAAGTATTGACATCCTGCATTTTAATAAAAATGTTATTAGTAGCCAGATGCAGGTGGCTCATGCCTGTAACCCAAGCTACTCAAGAGGCTGAGACGAATTGGTGCAAAGCCAGCCCAGGCAGGAAAGTCTATGAGACTCATCTCCAATTAACCACAAAGGGGTAGAAGTGGAGTGGTATATCAACTGGTAGAGTGCTAGCCTTAGGCAAAAAAGGGCTCAAGCTCTAGAAGTGTTACCAAAAAGGGGAAAAAAAATGATTAGTAACAAATAAAACAGACTTGGTAGCAAACAGCACTTACAGAGGCAAGAGGATCTGGAGTTCAAGGTCAACCTAGACTACTCAGGGAGACCCTTTTTCAGTAAACCCACAACAAATAAAAACCAAATAAACGCCGGATGCCGGTAGCTCACACCTGTAATCCTAGCTACTCAGGAGGCTGAGATCTGAGGATCGAGGTTCAAAGCCATCCCGGGCAGGAAAGTCCATGAGACTCTTATCTCCAATAAACCATTAGAAAACCAGAATGTGGTGCTGTGGCTCAAGCAGTAGAGCACTGGTCTTGAGCTCAAAAGCCCAGAGTTCAAGCCCCATGACCAAAAGAAAAACAAATAAACCTTGTTTGCCTCAACCTTCTTTGAAAAGTTAGAAACTCATTAAAGCATCTCTAGAGAGTAAGGTCATCAAGGGAGGAGAAAGGCAGTAATTTGCTTGGAGGTCAAACTCTTTTTTATTTTTTTTTTGGTTGGTCGTGGGGCTTGAACTCTGGGCTTGGGCACTGTCCCTGCACTCTTCAGCTCAAGGCAAGCACTCTACCCCCTTGAGCCACAGCACCACTTCCGGTTTTCTAGTGTTTTATTGGAGATAAGAGTCTCATGGACTTTCCTGCCCGGGCTGGCTTTGAACTGCAATCCTCAGATCTCAGCCTCCAGAATAAGCTAGGATTACAGGCGTGAGCCACTGGCACCCAGCTTGGAGGTCAAACTCTTAAGCTCAGCCCTGGCTTATACATCCATGAAAAGCTCATTTGTCTCCTTTGTTTATGGCTGGCTTGTAACATCCTTAGGACTCCACTGATTCAGGAAACATACATCCACTTCATTCCCTCTGGCTCCAAAGAACCATCCTTTTTATGAACTTGGAAGAATTTTTCATCACACACAAGGCTAAGGAATGTTTTTTCTGGATATAGTGGAACATGTCTCTCATGATATATAGCAAGACCATAGTTTGGAAAAAAAAAAGAGGGCTGGGAAGATGGCTTAGTGGTAGAGTGCTTGCCTCGCATACATGAAGCCCTGGGTTCAATTCCTCAGGACCACATAAACAGAAAAAGCCGAAAGTGGCACTGTTGCTCAAATGGTAGAGTACCAGCCTTCTGCAAAAAAGCTAAGTGAGAGTGCCCATGCCCTAAGTTCAAGCCCCAGTACAGGTACAAAAAAAAAAAAAAAGTAATAAAACTGGACTACACACCAGGCAGCTGGGTTCAAAATCTCAAACACTGTGTGAGTTCTACAGGCTTCACAGGACAGTAGCAGAAGGCTTCCTGGTAAGCATATACCCATTCTATACAGCCCTGCTAACAAGGCTATAAGGCCTCTTGTAACCTTGACAGCCAATGTGTATCAATGTCTGCACAAAGGTTCAGATACGTCAGAAACAGAAAAGTGATCCCATTTATAGAACTGAAACCCAAAGCACATGTTGTAGCAAGCTGGCCAGTATCACCTTTGTATAAACTCACAATCACTACTCAGTCACTATTCATAGCTCTCATCCTCCAAATGGAGAAACACAGCCTGCAGTATAGAAAGAGATTGTGGAAAAAGGTGGACAAGGGCAGAGACATGGCCTACAGTGCACTGCTCGATCAGTGGCATCTGGAGCCATCTCTGCCCACAGCAGCTTCCCCACCAGCGTGAACAACTGACTCTGAAGTAGACACAGACTGTGCTGGTCAAAGTGTATCACTAGAGGAGTGGCCTGACTGGCCTCTTAAGTCAAATCATGGGGAAAGACTAGAAGCCCTCACAAAGAGTCATTCTGAAGCACTGCTTCCTTACCTTTCGAAGCCGATATCCACTGAGCCGTCCCTGCTCTGAATCCACCAAATAGAAGAAGATGGAAGGAGCCAGCTCATGTAGCTGCCGTAAGACATTGCGAGTGGCTGGGAACGCTGTGACCTTGAAAAACCCAAATGGCCCATAAAAAACATTAAAGGAGAATTCAAGAATCTCAGGCTTCATTTCCCACCACCAGTTACTGCTTCTCCATCAAAGAGATCCTGAAGCATAAAGCAGCAATCTTTTTTGTTTCTTCACTCACTGGGCTTGAACTCAGGGCCTGAGCCACTGTCCCTGAGCTTTTTTTGTTCAAGGCTAGTGCTCAAACACTTTGAGCCACAGGTCCACTTCTGGTATTCTGGTAGTTAATTGGAGATAAGAGTCTCACAGACGTTCCTGCCCGGGCTGGCTTTGAACTGCAATTCTCAGATCTCAGCCTCATGAGTAGCTAGGACTACAGGCATGAGCCACCAGTGCCCAGCTTTAAAGCAGAAATCTTAATGGAACCAGAGTCTAATGAACTCTGTCTAGGATTTAAATTTCACTAGGGCAGGAATTGCAGCCTTGTCTCTGAGAGGATGCCCTGAAGCTAACATGCATTTACTATAGAGCACTCCATCTCTAACCCCCACCCCACACCCAGCTGCACTTGGATGCCTCCATAATGCTGAAGACAGTACCTTGTACTCATCATCTATCAACAGCAACACCTTGGCATAGTCTTGGTCCATGACTGGGAGAAGCAGGGACTGCAAGATGGGGCGCTTCAACACTGGGGGGGCCACCTGGCTCCACTTGCCAAAAATAGGATTGAAGACGTACAGAGAACTCATTCCTGTTTCCTAAAATGGGTGGCAAACTGTCAGACTCTAACATGGGAGGAATGCAAGTTGTACAGGTAAACCTGGTATGCTAAGAGTTCAGCTCAATTTTGAGAATTCCCTAACGTTTGCCCTCTTTGTAGAAAATAAGTTCTAAAGGAAAGAACTTATTTGGATGATCCCCTAGGCAAACGTGCAAAGAAAAAATGTCAAATCGTCTCCATCCTAAGCCATCAAGAACTAAACATGTTGGAGCTGGGAAGGTGGCTCAGTGGTAGAACGCTTGCCTTGCATGCCTGAGGCCCTGGGCTCAATTCCTCAGCACCACATAAGCAAAAAGAAAAAAAGCCGGAAGTGGTGCTGTGGCTCAAGTGGTAGAGCACTAGCCTTGAGCTGAAGAGCTGAGGGACAGTGCCCAGGCCCAGAGTTCAGGCCCCACAACTAGACCCAAAAAAAAAAAAAAAAAGAACTAAACATACTACAGGACTGATCAAAAGGTCAAAAACTGGGCTAGGTGTTCAGCTTAGTAGCAGAGAGCCTAAAAAGTCATGTACCAATTGCCAGCTGCCAAATTCCCCAGTCATAAAACTGTCAGAATGGATCCAGAAAAGTCCATTCTACTTTAGAGAGAAAGACATACCAAATTCTTTGTGTCATGCTCTCCCTTTACAGGGACACAAGCAAACACTCAGCCTTTGAACCATTTTCTAGTCAATTCCACATCAGAGCTGGATAGTTCCTCCACCCAGGCAAAAAAGTAGCAAGAACAAGAATCCTAACCCCTGAATAATTTTTTCTTGGACTCAGATTCACAAAGGACTAGAAGAAATTTAAATTTCAAAACACTAGAAGAGCCCCGCCCCTTGGGCTCACCTTGTCCTTTACCAGCAGGGTGCACTGAGGGGGGTGGGGGAAATGGGCAGTCGTTCTCTGGACCATCAGCTTAAAGGAGGAGTCTGGCTTCACACTAGGCAGATACTGTTTCCACAGAATAGTGCCAGAGCTGCTCTCAATGCCAAAAAGCTGCAAGATAAACACATGCCTGGCTCACAACTAGAAAGAAACCAAAGGACTGATTCTATCCTTGCAAACTGGAAGCAGCACTATCCCCTACCTAACAAAGCATTTTGTTTCCCAACCCCTGAACTCTACAATATTGGCACCTGGGCTCACTCCCTCACCTTGCCTGAGGCTGTCACCATCACCATCATCTTCTGCAGGTTGAACTCATCTCTGGCCAAAGTGTCAATGTTGATCTCATTTTTGATCTGACTTCGGGGCTTCCGAGCATCATAGAACATTTTCCAGAGGTGGGAGGTCCATGCCTGCAGCAGGATGAGCTGAGACGAGAGGCGTTTCAGGAACATCCCCAACAAACCATCTAGTGTCAGAGAAAGGCAACATACTACATGTCAGACCAGAGGTCCAGCAAAGTGTGTACTTTTCCTAGAGAGAGACCTCACCCTCTCCTGCAGAGCCTTCAAGCCACTTGCACTCCAGCCTAAAAGCCCATCTATGTCTGATACCCGTAGTCTCACCCTCAGGTTCAGCCATGCACAAGCTTGTTCCAAAACCACCTTACCTTGCTTGCTCTTAGGACTTGATATGCCTGGAAACTTACAATAAGGAACTAGTGGGTTAAGGACCAGTCATGCAGGATACAGCCAGGCTGTGAATGTCTCAACCACAGCCTGCATCCAGGTCGGCTAGGGGAAGGTGTAGGGGTGCCAACAAAGCCAGAGAAGTGCAAATGTAGGGGCACAAGGTGCAGGTGTATGGATCAGGAACAGTGCTTCCATTTCCCACTGCTGCATTCCTAAAGGCCCACAGGCCTTCCTGTGGCCCATTTCAAGGGCCATCACTCCCTCTCTCTCCCTGACTCTATCCCGGAGGCCACCATTCTTCCCATCTCTGCTACCAGAGCAGAAATTGGTCACAGGTACTAAGTAACATGGTAAACATCAGAGTCTTGAAGTCTGGAAGGCCTGGATTAAAATTCAGCTCCATGGTACATGTCTGTCACTTTTGCTACTCAGAAGGCTGAGATCTGAGGATCATAGTTCAAAGCTAGCCCAAGCAGGAGAGTCTGTGAGATGCCACAGGTAGAGCGCTAGCTTTGAGCAAAAATGCTCAGGGACAGTATCCAAGCCCTCAGTTCAAGCCCCAGAACCAGTACCAAAAAAAAAATCAGCTCCAGTCTCCACAACCATGTGATTTGGGAAAATGTACTTAATTTTTGTGCTTTGACTCTTCATTTACAAAATGCTCTATAGCCCAGAAGTTGGTGCAAAAATTAAATCATATGACGTACATATGATTTACAGTTTAGCACAGTGCCAGTACACAGGAAATGCTCACTAAAGCAGTGCCTTCGCTCATCTGTTTTCCATCCACCTCAGCTCAAGGAAGGGAAGTGAGGGGCAGAAGGGACAGGGCACAAGCAGAACAGTCTCCACATACATTTGTACCTCACTGCTGCAAATCACAATAAACAAACAACCAAAAGCGAGCTATGTGGGCAGGCAACAAGCAACAAAGCAGCAAAGAGCAGGATTTACCTTGAATTGCTGGATCCGGGCAGCAGAAACAAATAGTAAAGTCAAATTAATCCTCAGCTTAAGAAAAAGTGTGCCGCCCAGTGGGGTGCCTTGCCCAGAGTAGGCCCTCAACAGCTTATATAGGCTAGGGAGCTGGATGAATGACTTGGGGGGGGGGGAGAGGTGGATGAGGGGAGCTGACAGGAAATGGCGTGAATCAAGTACACAGGGCTAGGTACTGGGCTATCTCTACAATAAAAAGAACCATTTATGTTCTCTAGGTACGTGGGGACAATGTATAGACAGTACCTAACATGGTATGACATTTTTTTTTGGGGGGGGGGAGGTCCAGTCGTGGGGCCTGAACTCTGGGCCTGGGCGCTGTCCCTCAGCTCTTCAGCTCAAGGCTAGCACTCTATCACCTGAGCCACAGTGCCACTTCCGGCTTTTTTCTTTTTGCTTATGTGGTGCTGAGGAATCGAACCCAGGGCCTCAGGCATGCAAGGCAAGCACTCTACCACTGAGCCATCTTCCCAGCCCAATAACATGGTATGACATTTTAAGTATTAAGTACTCAGGCAATGACAGTTACTGTTATACTAAGTGAAGGGTTTTTTTTTCTCTTTTTGTCAGTCATGGGGCTTGAACTCAGGGCCTGGGTACTGTCCCTAAAGCTTTTTCAGACAAGGCTAGTGTTCTATCACTTTGAGCCACAGGAGCTCTACCACTGTGAGCCACTTCCAGTTTTCTGGTGGCTAGTTGGGAGATAAGAGTCTCATGGACTTTCCTGCCTGGGCTGGCTTTGAACTGTGACCCTCAGATCTCAGCCTTCTGAGTAGCTAGGATTACAGGTGTGAGCCACCAATGCCCAGCAAGACAGTGTTTTTCATGTTGATGGTGGTGGTGGTGGTTATGGGGCTTAAACTCAGAGCCTGGGCACTGTCTCTGAGCTTTTCTGTTTAAGGCTCTAACACTTTGAGCCACAGCACCACTTCCCTAAGTGAAGATTTTTGTGCCTCCAGACCTCCCCATGGAGGGTCTTTCACGAAAAGACTGGATGTACACACCAAAGGGCTACAAACATGCTAGAGCTCCTCTGAAACATCAGGATGAGCCCAGCAAGCTAGGGATACCATGAGATCCAACCAGCCAACCCAGCCCCACAGCCACTCTGCTGCCCCACCCCTTTGGTTCATACCTGCCTTCTTGCCAAATTCTCCTTCCAGCTCAGCCTGTGCCCCAGTCAGGGGCAGGTCCACCATCTCCAGGCACACCACTTCAGCCAAGGACTCCTCACGGCTCCACAGCACCACCTTCCCTGCTATAGAAAACAGTTTACAAGAACTTGGCCTACCTCCCTGACCCTCTGGAGACTCTTCTAGGTGGCTGGTATAAAAACAGAAACAGTAGGGCTGGGAAGGTGGCTCCGTGGTAGAGAGCTTGCCTTGCATGCCTGAGGCTCTGGGTTCGATTACTCAGCACCACATAAGCAAAAAAGAAAAAAGCCGGAAGTGGCGCTGTGGCTCCAGTAGTAGAGCGCTAGCCTTCAACTGAAGAGCTGCGGGACAGCGTCCAGGCCCAGAGTTCAGGCCCCACGACCGGACCCAAAAAATAAAAAAAATAAAAAAACAGAAACAGCAGACAGAGTGAGGCACTGGAATGAAGGTGTCAAGTGAGGAAGGTTCTAAACCCACCCTGGAACACTAAGGAATTATTGAACAGCAGGATAGGTGGCCTTGGGGAAAATGCTCAGGGCACACTCCACATGATCCATGACCAGGAACCAGCCTGCCAGAACTCCTGGGCAGGCTGGCCGCAGAGGGCTGGCTAAGGTATACTCACCCAGCTGCTGCAGGAAAAGTAGCAGGTGGTCCTGCGTCTGCACCAGAGCACGGTAGCCCACTGAGTCATCCTTCTTTAAGAACACCTGGATGTACAGCTGGAAGCCAAGCAGTCAGTGAGAATCCAGATGCCTCTGGGCATGCAACATCCCAAGAAGCAAATGTCAGGAGAGGCCTGAGGTCCAGGCCCTGTACTGATGTTTAATCAATACAGCTATCACTTTAAAATCCAAGGAGTCGCTGGGCGCTGGTGGCTCACGCCTATAATCCTAGCTACTCAGGAGGCTGAGATCTGAGGATCTCGGTTCAAAACCAGCCCGGGCAGGGGCTGGGAAGGTAGCTCAGCGGTAGAGTGCATGCCTTGCAAGCATGAGGCCCTGGGTTCGATTCCTCAGTACCACATAAAACAGAAAAAGCCGGAAGTGGCGCTGTGGCTCCAGTGGTAGAGCGCTAGCCTTGAGCTGAAGAGCTGAGGGACAGCGCCCAGACCCAGAGTTCAGGCCCCATGACCAGCAAAAAAAAAAACAAAACAAAACAAAACAAAGCCTGCCCGGGCAGGAGAGACCATGAGACTCCTATCTCCAATAAACCACCAGAAAACCGGAAGTGGCACTGTAGCTCAAGTGGTAGACTGCTCACCTTGAGCTGGAGAGCTGAGGGACAGTGCCCAGGCCCAGAGTTCAAGCCCCACGACCAACCAAAAACAAAACAAAACAAAAAATAAAATAAAATAAAACCCAAGGAGTCGGGGCTGGGAAGGTGGCTCAGTGGTAGAGCGCTTGCCTTGCATGCCTGAGGCCCTGGGTTCGATTCCTCAGCACCACATAAGCAAAAAGAAAAAAGCCAGAAGTGGCACTGTGGCTCAAGTCGTAGAGCGCTAACCTTGAGCTGAAGAGCTGAGAGACCGCACCCAGGCCCAGAGTTCAAGCCCCACAACCGGACCCAAAAAAATAAATAAAATAAAACCCAAGGAGTAAGCAAAGCAATGGTTCTGGGCCCTTGCACTGTCCATGGACTTGAGTGTATGACATCATTTGCCCGTGCCCAGGTCATAGCTCACAGAGTAGAAGGCCAGGACTGGACTTCCTATTTCAGAGATGAATAAGCCATAGCCAAGAAGTGGAGGAACACAGCTCCGTGTCCCACAGGACACTAGGAAATATGACAAGTGCAGCTAGGGTTTCAGACAGTCTGAATGCCTGCAACACATCTTACCAGGTATGCAGCTCTAGTCAGGGTATTGAATACTACTAGGCCATACTTTCATCTGTAAACCAGGTCAGTAATAACCACTACTGAGACAGTTGTGACAATATCACACAAGCTGAAGGCTGAGCAGTGGCAGCAGGGCATAATGCCTGCTGTTGCTCTTACTGATGACAAGTCTGTGGCTTAGGAAGAACAAGCACCCACATCTACATGCAGTCCATGGCTGCAGCCTGGACTGACAAGCATGCAGGATGAAGTCTAAAGCAGAGGTTCTGACTCACCTTCTCAGGTCGGGTACCATTCTGCTCCAGGCCAAAGGAAATTGCAGTGTCCAGGAGCCGCCGACCTGTCTCCACTAAGTAGAGGTTAATAGTATAGGTCTGGTTGAAGCACATCAATGAGTCCTAGGGGTACAAACAGGATGGATCAATTCAAAAGATTTCCCTTGGGCTGGGAATGTGGCTTAGTGGTAGGGTACTTGCCTAGCATGTATGAAGCCCTGAGTTTGTTCCTCAGTACCAAATAAATAGAAAAAGACGGAAGTGGCACTGTGATTCAAATGATAAGAGTGCTAGCCTTGAGCAAAAGCACAGGCGTAGTGCCCAGGTCTGAGTTCAAGCCCCAGGACTGAGAGAAAAAAAAAAAAAGAATCTCCCTCACCAGCTAGACTCAAATGATAGAGCAACAGTCTTGAATGCAAGTCCTCGAGTTCATGCCCTAGTATCAACACCAAAATAAAAAGTCCAAGGAGGAAAAATATCCTATAGGAGAATTCAGACAAGCCAGGAGCTGGTGGTTCACACTATAATCTTAGCCACTCAAGAGGATGAGATCTGAGGATCACAGTTTGAAGCCAGCCCAGGCACAAAAGTCCCCATGAGACTGTTATTGCCAATTAACCACTCAAAAACCAGAAATGGCACTTGTGGCTTAAAGTCCTAGAGTGCTAGCCTTGAGCAAAAAGAGTTCAGAGACAGTGTCCAGTTCAAGCCCCATTACTGACAAAAAAAAGAATTCAGATTGGGGTTGGAGGCATGGCTCAGGTAGGAGAGCACCAGCCAATGCACAAAAGAACAAACTCAAAAGTCCCAATCTTGGACAAAAAAAAACTCAGACTAGAGGGGAAATGCATGCAATGAAAAGTAAGAATCAAAGAAAAACTAAATCCTAAGCTGGGCATCAGTGACTCATGCCTGTAATCCTAGCTACTCAGGAGGCTGAGATCTGAGGATCATGGTTCAAAGCCAGCCTGGCCAGGAAAGTCCATGAAGCTCTTTTTTTTTTTTGTCGGTAGTAGGACTTGAACTCGGGGCTTGGGCGCTGTCCTTGCACTCTTCAGCTTAAGGCAAGTGCTCTACCGCTTGAGCCACAGCACTACTTCCAATTTTCTAGTGGTTTATTGGAGATAAGAGTCTCACGGACTTTCCTGTCCCAGGTGGCTTTGAACCATGACTCTCAGATCTCAGCCTCCTAAGTAGCTAGGATTATAGGCATGAGCCACCAGCGTGCAGCCCATGAAACTCTTATCTTTAATAAACCACCAAAAAAACGGGAAGTGGCACTGTGGCTCAAGTGGTAGAACACTAGCCTTGGGCTGAAGAGCTGAGGGAGTGTGCCCAGGCCCAGAGCTCAAGTCCCACGACCGACCAAAAAAACAAAAAGAAAACTAAAGCAGAAAAAAAAATCCTAAAGCAGAAAAGAAGTACCTGGTAAATAAACAACTACTATAAAAAAAAAAAAGAGGTTTTAGGAGGGAAGGAATGATAGAGGAAAAATAAAGGAGGAGATAACAGTGCTCGATAGGAAATGTATTCATTACCTTGCTCATGTAACTGTAAACCCTCTGTACAGTATTTCTACAATAAAAAAGTACAAAAAAAGAGAGATTCCTAGTAAATAAACAACTACTGTACTTATCTTAGAAGGAAGCTGGAAGGTACAGTCTAGCAGAGACTTTCCAAAGAGAGGTATGACTGTGACCAAGAACAAGCAGAGAAAACCCACAGCAAAGCCACAACTCTAGCCAGGGTCCTACACTGCCACCTCGTGGCACAACACAAAAGACTACTCAGCTCTACCAGGCCTTGGCTCCTGAGAGAAATCCAGAAATTGAGGCCCAAAGGAGAAAAAGGTTAGGAACAAATGCCAGAGATTCTACCTCATCACCAACCATGAAAAAGGACCAAAGCAAACACCATTCAATTTACAGAAAGCAGAGCTTACATGAAGCTGGGAATTTGAGGAGACCTACTAGTCTCAGCACTCCTAACTTCCTCAGTGGCCCCAGACTTGTCACGCTGCCCAATGTCACCCTACCTGTGCACTGGACTTCTCTGAAAAGCTTGCCCTTGAGCCATCTTCAGAATTGCTTGGTTTCTATTAGAGGAAAAAGGAGGAAATTCAGCCAGGGTCATTTCCAGTCACCAAAACAAAGCTTTTATTTTCAGCACTAGCGAAAAGCAAACCTCACGTCTCATCCCTACCCATAAGCCCATGCACCCCTTAACAGTTCCAGGAGAAAGTGAAATGGTCCTATCACCCAGGCCTAGAAGGGGGTGTGTAGAGGGGAAGTAAGAAGTCACCTTTCAGCAGCCTCCCCCTCCTGCATTAAACCTGACCAGACTCCTGACTGCCAGGGATCCCAGCAGACACAAGGAGAGGAAGTCCATGTCCTGATGGTTACTTTTGGTACTCACTGCCTCATTCCGACAGGTCATGACTGCGGCCACTGTCTTCTCCCCTGTGGTGGCAAAGCTCACAAGAGCAGTCTAGGGAAAAAGCAAGGTGTCAGTTCCCAATGGGGCTGTCCTAACCAGCAGCCTTCCAGAGGATTACTTCTAGTCGGGGAAGGCCCTGACCTACATGTTCAAAGCAGTCCCAACGTTGAGTAACTCAGAGCAAAGGGAGGCCCCAGGTGCATCTAACAGAACTCTTCCCTCCCTCCAGCCCAGGCACAGGTCACCTCAACTCCAGACTGTGCCGCTATCTATAGAGAGGCTCTGACTGTCATCTCTACCTTTCCACAGTAAGGCAACACTTACTAAAGATCCTGTGTACTCCCTTTCCTACTCTCCAGCTACTCCTTTCCAACCCCTTGCAGAATGGTGTTATAGGTCTTGGGCCTAAAAGCAAACAGTGCCTCCTAGCAACTTTGTCTTCATTACACCCACCTGCACCCCAGCCATCGAGGTGCCTGTGGTTACCTGGGGAAAGTTTTTGAGCAGACTCAGAGCTCCGTGGTGGTAATGCAGCAAAGCATAGTGGCTTGGGGACACTTGCAGAAAGAACTGGGCCCGAGAAGGTTCCACTGGGTTGGGTTGGGTGGGGAGGACCCGGGGTTGGAATCCATTCCCAAATTCTAAGTTGAGAGACTGAGGGAGACAAGAAAAGGAGGATCAGGGAGAGAAGCCAATCAGCTGCTGTCCCACCCAGCGGATCCTCTGCCCCACTCTGCCAGTGGACATACCTAACCATTTCCTTACACCAGATCACCCAGAGGCCTGAACTTCTCCCCATGGCTGCCCAGCTCAAAAAGGAAGCAGCAAAACTACCCAGAAATACACCACCCCCCAAGGAATCCTGTCACCTCTGCTAAGTCCCCAGACAATGCCTAGGGCAGGTGAGGCCTCTCACCTGCAAGGAGATCTGTCGAAGTTCCCACTCTGTCTCCAGGGCTAGAGTTTGGAGGGAACGAGAGCTCAAGTCAGGACACACCAGGACAGCCTCATCCACCACACCACAGGCTCCGGTGAGATGCTGCAGCCACGGGGTTGAAACTCTGACCTGAATACAAGACATGGAGGATCCTTATTGTCCTCTCAGTGCATCAGCAAGATCACTGCTGGCACCCCACAGAGGATCCTGAGCTCAAAGGCTCTGTGGAACGGGTCCCAAAGGAGTTTTTTCGCTCCCACTGCCTGCCACCAGCCCCTCAAGAGCCTCCACAGATGAACCATCAGAATTTTCTGGAAATGTATGCTGACAACCTGATACTTTAGATAAGTGTTTTTCTACTACATTTGCCACATGCAGTTTCCTGTCACTGTCTTACAGCATTATCTTAGAAGAAACTTAACAGGCAGTGACTAGAGCTGGGTATGTTTACTTTTATTTATTTTTTGCCAGTCCTGGGGCTTGAACTTAGGGCCTGGGTACTGTCCATGAGCTAAGTCTTTAGTTCAAGGCTAGCGTTCTACCACTTGAACCACAGTGCCATTTCCAACTTTTTCTGTTTACATGGTACTGAGGAATGGAACCCAGGGCTTCATGCATGCTAAGCAAGCACTCTACCACTAAGCCACATGCTCAGCCCAAGCTGGGTACTTTCAGCCACCTCAGAAAAGCCCCAAGTGCAAACACAAGTACTTTATAAACACATGCAGATGAGGACATGACAGCAGCAAGTGATCTGAATCACAGACCATGAATGCCTTTGCATCTGCCCAGCCAAGTCCCCTGGTCCCCAGTACAAAGAAGGCTCCATCAAATCCACTCTCCACTCCCAAGGCACCATATGTCCTCCATACCTGCTGAACAATCTCTCCGTCTTCCACGTTAAACTTGACAATGTTCACATGGCTGAAGGGAACAACGCCGAGGGCCCACACCACCCCAGAGCCATAAGAATACACCATCTGGTAGTGGATGCTGTCACTAAGAGAGACAGGAGACAGCGTGACAATAGTGTTAGCTCTTAGACAGGAGCATCCCCAGGGATCTTCCGAAGTCAGGCTGCCAGTGTTTAGCCAGCTACCACAAACTAACAATCCCCAAATAGACTTTATTTGGATCCCACATTTTAGATTTTGTCTTTGTCTTTGTTTTCTAGGGGTTTTGTTTTTTTTTTGGTGGGAGGAGTGTCTGAATTTCTTTGCAGTGCTAGGGATCAAACCAGGACCTCACCATACTATATAAAAACAAATTCCTAACCTTTCTTAAGCTAAAGAGGGGTGCCAGGTGTCAGTGGTTCAGGCCTGTAAGCCTAGCTACTCAGGAGGCTGAGATCTGAGGATCATGGTTCAAAGCCAGCTTGGAGAGGAACGTCCGTGAGACTCTTATCTCCAAAAAAACAGCAGAAAATCAGAAGTGGCTCTGTGGCTCAAGAGGTAGACCCTAGCATTGAGCTGAAGAGCACAGGGACAGTGCCCAAGCCCAGAGTTCAAGACCCACAACCAACAACAACAACAACAAAAGTTAAAGAGGGGCAACACTGGGCCTACCTACATGCACACAGGGCACAATCACCTGAGTAAGACGTCCTTCTGGGGGTGGGCTGCCACACCGCAGGTCCTAACAGTCCCCATGGGTCTGACAGACTTATGGATGTGTCTCTTCTGACCCTACAGGAATCTGAGGGGTTTTTTTGGTTTGTGTTCTAGGTCACTCCAGCTCTACCTCCTGCCTGAATCTAGGATTAGAGATGTGTACCACCATACTCAAGAGAGTGCAAATTTTGATCCTGCTCTAAACTTTGAAGATAGCCACAGATGGTTATCTTTCCTTCCTTCCTCCCCTCCCCTATTCTGTTCCCTCACCTTCAGCACTTTCCACTCCTAGGACCTCTTGAAAACTCACATTCTATTGCCTTTAATCTCAAAATTCCCCTGGGTTCATCTTGTTTTAACTCATTATGAATGAAAGGTTCAATCTAACTTGAGCTAGAAGTCAAAAACTCCAAAGCACCACATTGCTTATGAGCAAGCGGCTCTCTTGCGTGGCCAGCTCCAGTGTCCCAGTTTAGAAGTTTTCTCCTTCCTGAAAAGGAAGTACTCCAAATACAGCCACGGCCTTTGTGCTTAGGCCTATAACCAGCAAATGTACCACATCACACACAGCAACATGAGGGCTCTGCTGTAGGTCTTGAAAGAGGAAGAGGGCTGGAGGAAGGGGAAAAGGTCACCAACACCAGGCCATACCTTTCTGGAAGATGCTCCACCCACTTCAGGTGCCCACTGGACAGGTGATGGAGGGCAAGAGTAGTCTTCTTCAGGACAGCAACATAGCGCACCGCCTCCTGCAGCCCCACCAGTCCGAGTGCCTGGAAACTAAGCATAGATACAGGTGAGAACCTCAGGCTAGAGCAGACAGTCCTATTGCTGCCACTGCTCCTTGGTACAGAAGCAAACAGGCTTTAGAATTAAACATGTTGGATAGTAATCCTGACTCTGCCTGTCCTTAGCCAACATGAATGGCTACATTGCAACCACTCGATCAAACTGCTTCCCTGAACCCCTGCAAAAATCTAACAGTTATTTATTCCTTCCCCTGGAACTTCACAACAGCCAGGACAACCTGCTACTACACACCTGTCCTTGAGCTAAAGCCTACCTCCCCAGCTAAGTATAAACCTGATAACAGAGCTGTCTCACATTTACAAGTGTGTCCCCATTGCCTGTGTCTACCACATGAATTACTATTGCAAGATGTGGGCGCTAATGCAAAGACCCTAATAGCTTAAACAGACTTTGCAAAGACCAGACAGTGATTCAAGCTTTGTGTTTCTAAACACAAAACTAAAACACGCAAAATGTTAAATATGTTCCTACATCTAGAACACAGCAAAGTTCACACATTATGGTTAGACAGGATAAATAAGAATAAACACTGCATATCCATACAAGGCTGCATCTAATGGTACCCAATAAATGTTGCTGTAAATATATGTGCCCACAAGGTCAAAGTGCATCAAGATGTCTGATGTACTTTGCCTCTCCAGTGGTCCCTGGAAAAAGCCAAACAGCCCAGAATTGCTGTCTATGCAGTTCCACATTCCAGCAAAGCCTTTCATCCACGATGAAACTCAGCTTCTTCTCCTACCTGCCACTATCCAAGGTTATCTCCCAGTTCAGGCCCCCAATGTTAGTCTCCCAGGAACGCATGATGCGGCCTCCGCTTGACACAGTGATTGCATCTATAAGAGAAAAGATGGGGAGGGAGTCATTTCTCACACTTTCTCTATTGCCTTTAAGGTCCCTGAGCACTGGTCCCAACTCTGACCTATACATCCAATAGATGTTTAATGGGGATATGCCCTCACTGCCAGAAGCACCCCTTCTCCTTCCCACATCAGACTCTACACAATAGAAGGAACCAAGGAACAGGAGAGGGGAAGATGCCATGAGAGAAAGAGTTTGCTAGCCTCTGCTTACCCTGTCCGTGAAGCAGCATGGCATCCACAGACCCTTCTGCGGTGCCCTTGTCCACATGGCGCCACACTGAAAGACAAAAAACATAAATATCCTACGGATATTACCATGACCCAGGAAGACTAAAAGTGGGCTGAGGAGGTCTTTGCACCACCACATTAAGAAAGGCATCTTTTGGCCAACATGCTCCTACCTCAGGAAGCATCTAGGCAGGTATAGCAAGCCACAGGCTGCTCAGATTCACTATGATCAGTGGTGACAGAGCTGTCTCACTTTCATGTGTCCCCATGGTGTCTGCTAAGTGAATTACATTCCCACCCCAAACCACCCAGACTGTGCAGCTCACTCACAGATCTCTCCAGTACGAGAATTTAACGCTGCAATCACATTCTTCTCTGTGGCCACAACCAACTTCTTAGATCCAGGAGAAAATTCCAAGGAGGCAAACTTGAGCTTCCCAACATACTGCTGTCTCCTGTGAAAGAGTACAGGGGGCATAAGGAACAGAAAAATCACTGTACAAAAAGCTTGAGAAAAGACAAAGACCTGGGAGATCACCACCACAACTACTGTGCTACACAGAAGGAATGTCTATTACTGAAGAGATCTGACCAAAAGCAAAATTCTCATTCAGCAGAGTCAAAAGCAAAGGCACAAGTTTTCCAGTAAAATATATATACATACTTACTCAAGAAGTAACACTCCCCCAAAGAGCCCCTGGCCCATACCCCACTAAAGCTACAATCTGCTTTGTATTCACTAAAAGCAGGACTGGGCACTTAGCCTATAAATCAGAGACACCCAGGCCCTGCCTTGATGAGCACAGAAATAAGATCTTTTTACCTTTTTTCTACCTGTACAACATTTCCAAAAAAAGAGAAGAAAGTATCCAATAAAACTGCCCAGACTAGGACAGGACTTTGTTCTCCACACCCCTTTCTTTCTCTTTAGCCCAGGCTGGCTTCAATCTGAACTCACCCTTAGACTGCTGGTACTATAGGTATGGACCACTATATTCAGCACATATAGGGTTTGTTGAAGTCAAGAATATGGTCTACTTAAGAGATACCAAGGGCAACTTAGAGAAAAATAAGGTAAAACTGATTACTGTGCTGGACAATGATCTGTGATCATTGTGGGCGCTGATGGCTCAGGCCTGGAATCCTAGCTACTCAGGAGGCTAAGATCTGAGGATTGCGGTTCAAAGCCAGCCTGGGCAGGAAACTCCGTGAGACTCTTATCTCCAATAAACTACTAGAAAACTGGAAGTGGCGCTGTGGCTCCAAGCGGTAGAGCGCTCGCCTTCAGATGAAGAGCTGAGGGACAGCTCCCAGGCCGAGTTCAAGCCCCACGACCAACCAAAAATAAATAAATACAGCCTGCCCTAACTGCTTTTAACTATCAGATACCACTTATCAGAATGCTATGCCCATATTGATGGTGCCCATATAGGGGAATACAACGGTCCAAGTAGCTTATGCATGCAAGCTACTAAAATACAGTGTGAAAGTTGGCTGGACAAACTATAATGCTTTCTGCCTCCTGCCAGCCCACACACTTATCAATGAATGTGTTATAGACAAGATCTATGAGGGCCAAATGGAGGGAATTGAACATTTCCATACCATTATGGAAAGCATTGGTGGTCAAGCCAGTACCTTCATCTGCTCTTGGAAGTAGACCTTGCCAGACCACCACTGGCAATACAGTCTTTAAAACCTTGAAAAGAACAAAGATAGAAGCTTATCTATCCTTCACAGTATCAAACTATTCCCTGGTTCTAAGTCTGAAAGCAAAAAATGTAATACAGAAGTATACTACAAGTATGCATTTTATATGAATTACCTAATTGGAGACTTAGATTGCTAACTATATTTATTTTTCTTTTTTTCAGATCTAAAATGGGATTCAAGTTAAGGACTTGACAGTGCTCTACCAACTGAGCCATGCCTCCTATTCCTAGATGCTAACTATAAACAATTTTTTCAGTACATAAAGAACAATATATTCCCAGACATGATGGAAATGTGTAAGAAAGCCTATACTGCATATGATAGAATCTAGTGTATTAGAAGAAACCAAAAAAAAAAAAAAACCAGGAATCAGGTTTAATGAGGTCAAAAGGAGAGCCCAAATCCAATAGGACTGGTGTCTAAAAGGATTAGACATCAAAGATGTACACAGGGCCATAAGAGAGCTCTACGTGCACACAAAAGGAAGGCTATACTGACCAGGAAAGAGGTCTTATGAGAAACCATCTATCAACACTTTTACCTTAGAGATCCAATCTTCAGAACTTAGAGAAAGGTGCCAGGCAGGGCGGCATGCACCTATAATCCCAACTCTTAGGCTGAGGCAGAACTGGACAACATAGTGTGCCTCAAAAAATAATTTTAAAAAATAAATCAGAAGAAGAAAGAGAAGAGAGGATGAAGGGAGGGAGGGAGGAGGGAAAGACAGCCAGGCTCCAATGTCTCATGTCTGTAATCCCAGCTACTCAGGTGGCTGAGATCTGAAGATCCTAGTTCAAAGCCAGCCAGCCAGGGCAAAGTCCCTAAGACTCCCCTCTCCAATTAACCACCAAAAAGCCAGAAGTGGAGCTATAGTTCAAGTAGAAGAGCTCCAGCGTTGAACCAAAAGGAAACACTGTCCAAGACCTGAGTTCTGGCCTTAGTAAGAGATGAATAAATAAATACATGGAACTTTCTGGATGATGAGAGCTCGGGGCAGCCAAGCCTTGATCTTAGGGCTGCCTTGAGATTGAAGGGGAAGAAGATTCTGCTTAGGACTTGTAAGACAAGAAGTCCCTATTGACATGCTTAATCAAAGATTTCACCGGGGATGCTAGTCATCCGTCACAAGTCACCCAAATGGGGCCCTGCCTGGCGAAGTGCGACTCATCGACCTCCGACCGGAACCCCAAAGCAAGCCTGGATGACAGGCTCGGCTCCGAGAGCGTGGGCCGGGCGTGGACGAGCCCCCGCGCTCAGCTTCGAACTCCTCGGCTGACCTCTCAAAAACTTCCTTCCGGAGCCAGGGGCGGGGGGGAGCCCACGCCTTCCCCTGGCCCGGGAGCCCTAAGCTCGGTGGCCGACCCTGCTCCGTGGACACGTCCAGCAGGCCCAGGACACGCGCCTCCAGCTCCCCCAACCATCCCCATACGTACGCACCAGTCAAACTTTCCCACTTGGTCCTCGTAGACCGCGGCTGCAGGGACGAGCAGCGCAGCCCAGAGCCACCACAGGGAAGCCGGCGCCGCCGCCATGATGGAGCCGCGGGCCCCGCCCACCGCGGGCCCCTCGCGCACCGGGCCGCAGGCCCCGCCCGCCCGGGACCCGAGGCTTAGGGGGAATGAGGAGGGTGCCGTCGCACGCGACGCCCTCGGTGGGGCTCCCGGGACTCGGAGGCCTCCGCACTCCCCAAAAGTGACTCAGCAGGCGCGGGACGAAGTGCTTCCCGCCGGTGGCCCCGCCGACAGCCGCGGCTCGCCGCGCGGACCGGCGCAGGCACGCGCGAGGCCAGCCCTGAGCGCCCTCCCAGAAGCCTCCGCGCCGCCGGGGTCCTGACGGGCCGCGCCGCCTCCGGCCGCTGCACGTGTCTCCAGCGCGATGCCTAAATCCAAGCGGGACAAGAAAGGTGGGCGCGGGGGTTCTCGGGGTGCGGGGGGCCGTGGGGACCCAGGGGGCAGACTCCGGGGCGGGGTGCCCAGCCTTTCGTGAGGGGCGAAAGGGATACGGATGGCGGTTCAGAGCCTTGGAGACCGGCGCTGCGAGCTGCGGGGAAGGTCTCGGGGTGCTGGGGGAGTCGCCGGAGGGAGCGGAACCGGGCCGCGGGCCGCGAGCCGAGGCTCCCGCAGCCAGGCCCCGCTGGGGCGGGGGAGGACAGCTCCCGAGACCCGGGCTCTGCCGGTGTCGCCCGGGCCCGCGCCCCCCCCACTCTTGTGTCACCCCGACCGCCTGCCCTCCCAGCTCCCGCCGGTTCCCGCGCGTGGTGCCCGGTATCTACGCGGCGAGTCCGTGCGCTCTCACCTTTTAATGCGCGCTGATTCCTAGACACCGACCCAGATCACTTTGACTGTGGTGCTGGCAGGGATCTGTCTCGAATGCTCTTGAAGTCATTCGGCACTTCGTAGCGGTTGGGCGATCCAGCGGTTACAAGGAAGGGCTAGCGTCAACTCTTATGCTTTGGTTGGAAAATATCGTTCCTCAACTTGAATGGATGTAGTTAAAGAAGAGGTGAAGGGGCTGGGAAGGTGCCTCAGCGGTAGAGCGCTTGCCTTGCATGCATGAGGCCCTGGGTTCGATTCCTCAGCATCACATAAGCAGAAAAAGCCATAAGTGGCACTGTGGCTCAAGTGGTAGAGCACTTGAGCTGAAGAGCTGAAGGACAGCGCCCAGGCCCAGAGTTTAGGCCCCATGACTGGCAAAAAAAAAAAAAAAAAGGTGAAGTTTGACATTGTGCAGGCAAGGGGACTGCAGAGAAGAGCTGCCAAAACAAGAGGAAATATTTACCTGTTGGAAGTAATTAATTCCGCCCTCCCAGACGAAAGACCTCTTCCCAAGGAGTTAGGGGGGTAAGGAACCTTTTTCTTCTTAAGGTCTATTTAGATATTTATAAACAAAAAGCTTGCAGCTAGCTAGCTCCAGTGTGTGATTTCAAGGACATTACCTAAAGTTCCCTACCCCTAGAGCTTGAGAGAAGAATGGCATGGTTTAACGTTTTTTCCCCTGGGGCTTGAACTCAGGGCTTCTGTCCCTGACCTTTTGCTCCAAAGCTAGCACTCTACCACTTGAGCTACAGCGCTACTTCCCGCTTTTTCTGTTTATGTGGTACTGAGGATCGAATCCAAGGGTTCATGCATGTAGGCAAGCACTCTATCACTAGCCACATTCCCAGCCCCTTAACTTTATTCTTAAAGGATTGCTGGCTACCTTGGTGAGTAGCCTGGGGGAGATGGAGAAAGAGGGCAAGGATGGAAACAACTAAGACCAACAGTCATCCAAGACAGTGGTACTTATTTGAAATCATGTCAGTGCAGAGAATCCAGATGGGTTGCTTGTATTTCGTTCAATCGCCTTGCTGTGCTTTGTACTGACTGCTGTGGTTCCTTGACCTGTGTGCCTTGTAAAGAGGGACTTTGGAGCTGGGGACATCTGAGTACAAACCCCAGCACCACTAAAACAAGGGGGACTGTGATTGCCAGGTAGGAAGAGGCTAGGTCACTTCCTAGGGGGCACCAGGGCTTTCCAGTTGGTGATTGCTTGTGATGTAATTTGTTTCTTTAAGCCCTGATCAGACCTGGCACATGCCAGCTCTTGTGGACAGGGTTGGACCCAGTTGTTTTTACAGAAGGGCTTGTCTCCACAAGGAGGCATCCATGAGTCCAAATGAAATGCAGGCAAGTGCTAGTGGCTCACGACTGTCTAATCCTAGCTAACTCAAGAAGCTGAAATCTGAAGATTTCAGTTTGAAGCCAGCCCCAGCAGAAAAGTCCTTGAGACTCTTACCTCCAACTAACCAACAAAAAGCTAGAAATAGAGGCACAGCTCAAGAGGTAGAGCACCAGCCATAGCAGAATAAGAATGGGAGAACCTGAGTCCAAGCCTCAGTAATGCCACAGAAAAAAAAACATATATGTGTGTATATATACACACACATATATATATATGTATATATATATATGTATGCAGGGAGGGAGTAGGTGAGAATGAGGGAATAGATGGTACTATGCAATAAAAATGTACTTTTTACTTATGTATGTAAAGGTAACCCTGCTGTATATCACCTTTAAAACAACATTAAAGTAATTTAGGGGGAAAAAATGCCTTCTGTGCAGACATGTAGTACAAGAGATATGGTCCCAGCTGCTGATCCCCAGGCTCATTACTTCTACAACTTAGGCATTTATGGCTTCTATGCATCATGGCCAAGAGCTGAGAGGGACCAGCCTCAGCCAGCAAGTTAGGGCTGCCACTGAGAGCACTGTACCAATAGGAACACACCCCACCCCACACTGCAGCTATCTGTCTCACTGAGGACTCAGGAATGTTTAGTTTGTGTGACACATTTGTGCATGCAGGCCCAGAACATAATCGTGCATAGGCCCTCCACACACCCTGGAAATGCCTTGTATGCCAGAATGATGGCAGCCAGGCCCTTGCTGCCTTCCCTCAGGCTGCCTTGGTCCAGCTGAGCCCCAAAGGGGAAGGAAAAGAAGTTTCCATGACATCCAGATTGATTGCTCACCATCTTTTTCCATTTTTTTTGTTATCAGTTTCCTTAACCAAAACTACAAAGAAAGGCTTAGAACTGAAACAGAACCTGATAGAAGAGGTAAGAACTAATTGCATTAATTTCCTAGTTTGTATGTAGTTTATAGGTGTGCATATAGGGCTGTTTGTTGGAGGATAAAACCATTTACAAGAAAGCAAACCAGCTGTCAATCCAACCCTTTTGTCATTATCCAGCAGAGCCCCCACCAGTAAGGCCCATCCTGATTTCAGGCTGTGATTTATTTTATCCTGTGCCCTATATTTCTCCAAGTGTTTCCATACCTTCCCCAACATCCCTGAGAGGTACACATTATGTTATGCTATTTTGCAGTTAGAAACACTGAAACTTAGCAAGGTATCTTACTCTACCCTGAGTCAGCAAAGGCTAGGAGTAACTTCTGACCTCCCTATCCTGGGTTGTAAGATAAGGGAGAACAGAGGCACACAGATTCTATACCTCTATGGTAGCTTTGGCTGGCAGCACTGCAGGTTAGCCTCCTTTGCTGTTCAATAACTAGACAAAGCACACAAAAGTGATTGGTCACCCATAAGTCATATCCCAGAGGCTTGATTTCCCTTGTGATGTGTGGTCCTGGTGTCAGAAATGGTAGTACGGAGATTTAAACAGGTTAAAGCCTACAACACATTCTGTCATGAGGCAGAGTTGGCCATGTCAGCTGCCCCTTGAACTCCTGAGCTTCATGACTTGTCCCACAGCTTCGGAAATGTGTGGACACATACAAATACCTCTTCATCTTCTCCGTGGCCAACATGAGAAACAGCAAGCTGAAGGACATCCGGAATGCCTGGAAGCACAGCCGGTGAGCGGGCATGGGGAGGAAGGGCCAGGCTGCTGTGGGAGCTCAGGAACAACACGGGGGGTCACATAAGTGGCCCTCAGTGACACTGCACCCACACTAAAGGGCACATTTCAAAGGTGAAAGCCAGACTTCTAACAAGCCCCTCGGGAGCAAGACTCAGTAGTTTCTTTGGAGATAATTGGGAAATTGGTTCCTTCAAGTTCCAAGCCCTGAGCTCAAAAAAGATTGCTCAGCCATGGAGTCTGGCATCATTCTAGTTTTAGAATGTCAGTATGTGCCCCCATTACAGACAGTGACCCAGGAGCAGGCTGCAAGGACCCTGTGGCCACTTGCAGTACTTGGCTAGATGCCTCTGTGGTTGGTCTCCTAGTACACCAGCTCTGAAATATCCTATTAAAGGTGCTACATCTAGAGAGACTGATTGTCACATGATGTTCCCAGTGCGTGGCTGACAAACTTGCCATGTCCTGTAGGGAAATAATAGCAGGGACCCTGAGCTGGGGGTGCTGTATGTAGTTGGCATGTCTAGGTGAGGTGCTTTGGGCCTGTCCCCAGGCTGCTGAGAAATGGAACTGCCTGTCATTTAACTGAGGAAGGGGAAAGGAAGGGCACTTCCTTCAAATCCCTTTGTACTTGATAGGATGTTCTTTGGCAAAAACAAGGTGATGATGGTAGCCCTGGGGCGAAGCCCATCTGATGAGTACAGAGACAACCTGCACCAGGTAAGGGTCAAGAGGGGCTGTGCTGCCTTCCCTTGGTCCCCATGTCTCCTCCCAGGCCCAGGGAGTGGTGTCCTGTGTGTCCCTGTGTCTCTCCTCCCCCTTCCTGCTCTACCAAGCAGAAATGGCCTTGAATGTTATCAGAGAGAAATTGTTCACTTCGGAATTTCAGGTCAGCAAGAAGTTGAAGGGTGAAGTTGGTCTTCTTTTCACCAATCGCACAAAGGATGAAGTGAATGAGTAAGTGTCCATGAGCAGTGCAGGCGCTGTGAAGGTGGCACCACCAGGAAGTCTCACTTGTACTTGGTTGTGACCAGAGAGGATTGTATCTTGTCCAGCACAGTGCCTAGCCTGCAGCCAAACTGAGCAGGCAGAGAGGGGAGGCCCAGGTCCCGGGCTGAGTGGACTTCAGCCATCAACAACCTGCCTTCCTACTTCTTTTCTCCTTAAGGTGGTTCACAAAATACACGCAGATGGACTTTGCCCGAGCTGGTAACAGAGCAGCTTTCACTGTGAACCTGGACCAAGGCCCTCTGGAGCAGTTCCCCCACTCCATGGAGCCACAACTGAGGCAACTGGGCCTGCCCACTGCCCTCAAGAAAGGTATAGCTGCTGGGCCAGTGGCTCACACCTGTAATCCTAGCTACTCAGGAGGCTGAAAGCTGAGGCTCACGGTTCAAAGCCAGCCCAGGCAGGAAAGTCAGTGAGACTCCATCTCCAGTTAACCACCAGAAAACCGGAAGTGGCACTGAGTGCTAGCCTTGTGCTGAAGAGCTGAGGGACAGCGCCCAGGTCCAGAGCTGGAAGGCCATAGTCCACAGCCAGAAGCACCAGCTTGCAGGCTCTGCCTTTTCTGGCTGAACAAGTAACTTTTATCGCCTCCCTTCCTGTGAGAAAATAGGCCAAGTACTCACCTCCCAGTTGGTATAAAAGTAGACGGTAGGTTCTGGCCAGAGGACAGCACTTAAAGGACATTGAGGCAGCAGCTGCCCTTCTGTGTACTGACCTGCAGGGTGGCAAGCGAGCCGCCACAGGCTTCCCAACTCCACACTGGCAGCCCACGTCATGTGGGCCTGTGCCTGAGAGATGTGGGGCCCCTCCTGCAGGTGTGGTGACCTTGCTGTCTGACTATGAGGTGTGCAAGGAAGGCGATGTGCTGACCCCGGAGCAGGCCCGGGTTCTGGTAAGTGTGGGCTCTGGCAGGTGGAACCACTGCCTTTCTCTCCCCTGTGCTTCTCATCACACTCCTCACCCCTTCTCCCTCTGCGCTTAAAGAAACTCTTTGGGTATGAGATGGCTGAGTTCAAGGTGACCGTCAAATACATGTGGGACGCACAGTCGGGACGATTCCAGCCGATGGAAGATGACCTGCCTGAGAGCGCACCTGAGTCTGAGGAGGAGGAGGAGGATGAGGACGAGGACGACTAAGGCCTTTCAGCTCCGTCTGTGCCACACAGGACCCAGTAGGACTGACTGCCACCGCCCCTCTGGAGGAAGGCCCTATTTATTTTGCTATAGATGAAGACAGGTGACCTGACTGTGTTTCCAGAGAATAAAATTGAGTCTGCAGGTGTCTCCTGTAGACAGCAAGAGGCTTTTCTAAGATGAGGCCTTTGGCTTTGTGCTCGGCTTGGACACTAGGATTTCCTGTGTACCTAGTAAGCGAGCATAGTCCTGAGCCCTGTGGGATTACTGTAGTAGCATTACGGCTCTGGATGGCCTAGAGCAACCCCACAGCTGGGCTCCCTCCTCTCCAGGAGAGGGCCCTCCCTCCGTGCCCTTTGCTTCTCAGACGGAATTCCTGAGAAAAGTTAGGTGCCTTGGCAGTCCTTTCACATGTCTGCACACAGTCCAATCTCAGAGCTGACTGGTGGATACCAAGAAGTCAGGGGCCTTTAGAAACTCAAGGAAGGCCAGGTGCCTGTGGCTCATGCCTGTAATCCTAGCAACCCGGGAGGCTGAGATCTGAGGATCACAGTTCAAAGCCAACCTGGGCAAGAAAGTCTGCAAGACTTGCATCCAACTAACCACAGAAAAGCTGGAAGCAGAGCTGTGGCTCAAGTGGTAGAGCACCAACCTTGAGTTTAAAAAAATCTCAGGAATAGGCCTATCCCCTAAGTTCAAATCCCAGAACCAGAACCAAAGGAAAAAAAAAAAAAAAGAAGGTAGAAGAGGTGCAGAAGTCAAGTACATTTTTAAGTTGGCTCCCATAAGTACTGGGCATATAGTTCAGTGGTACAGCATTTGCCTACTGATTCCATCCCTAGCATCTCAAGAAAATGACTTTCTCTGAGTCTGGCAGTGTAACAACTCAGTAGTTGAGTGCTTGCCCAACATGGGTGAGCCCTAGGGCACTGTGCCAGCATCCCCTAAAAGGAATGTGACCTGTCTCACACATTTCCAGGTTCAGACAGTTCTGATAGGTGCAGAGAAGCCATGGAACTTGGTACCCCTCTCACACCACTGGCTCCATGAATCTCTTCTCCATGTGCTTTGTGATAAATACCTTCTATAATAAAAACAGCAATTTCCCTGAGTGCTGAGTTGTTTGTGTGCTAGGGAGGCATTAGTGGCACCTCCATTTGCAGTGGGTCACAGAAGGGCAGGTAAAACATTCAGTATATTACAGTAGCTCCAAAACAGCCTTTGAGACAGCTCTAACACCTTACATGGTTCTCTGTCATGCATAGCCAGCCCCACAAAGGGGACAAGCCAGGCTGGGTTAGGGGTTCTGGGTCTAAAGAGATCCAACTGCCTCTGACTCTGTCACCACAGTAGCCCCTCAAACCTCCAGCACAGGAGAAGTCACCAAACTTCAGCCAGCTCAGCTGCCAGCTTTCTTCACTAGGCAGAGCTCAGCCTGCTGCCCTCCCATTGGGTACACTGGAGAGAAATAGAAGGAAAAAAAAAACCAGCAGGGATAGAGCAAGTTGGATCAGCTCAAGGTAGCAACTGACCTTAAGGGAGGTAAGGGATAGCTAGCTACAGTCCAGTCAGGTGGAACCTAACGGAAGTAGTTGGGACACTGGCGGGTAACCAGGTTCTAGGCTTAATCAAAGGCTTCCATGACTCCCGGCTCCAAGGGCCCTTGCTCAGTGACAGCCAAGTTCTGCTCCAGTTGGTCTAGGCTGGACATGCCCAGAATGACTGCATCCTCATGGGTGGCCTGTAGGGATACCATATTTCCAACATCTTCTACCTGCAGCTCAAGTCACTTGCCCCTCCCTGCCAGCATTGCCAATATTTTTCCTTATGCCTTTATCATTCCAGCAGGAATTGACTAGCCAAGTAAGATTGTAAGCCCCAGTACCATCATGCACACACATATAAAAAAACAAGGAGGGGGAAGTGGTTCTGTGGCTCAAGCAGTAGAGTTCTCACCTTGAGCTGAAGAGCACAGGACAGTGCCCAAGCCCTGAGTTCAAGCCCCATGACCGACAAAAAATAAAATATTAAAAAAAAAACGAGGGGCTGGGAAGGTGGCTCAGTGGTAGAGTACTTGCCTTGCATGCCTGAGGCCCTGGGTTCAATTCCTCAGCACCACATAAGCAAAAAAAAAAAGCCAGAAGTGGTGCTGTGGCTCAAGTGGTAGAGTGCTAGCCTTGAGCTGAAGAGCTGAGGGACAGGGCCCAGGCCCAGAGTTCAGGCCCCACGACCGGACCCAAAAATAAATATTCCACTCTAGGAATAGCTGTGCATAAATTGGCAGAATAAGTCTCCCCAAGACAAGTACCTCATATTAAAGCTGAAGTGATAATACTTAATAGGAAGTCTGTAACTTGGCCACCTGGACACATCAGAGGAAAATAAAGAGCCCTCCCAGGATAGAAGAGAATAGCTGGGGAGTCTTCAAGGCCCCATTCTCCACTCCCCCGCGCCCCCCACCCCCCGCCAGCACCCAGGACAGCGGGGCTACCTGCAGCCAGGAGTGGTGGTACAGCCACCTCAGGGCAGCCGAGGTCATGCTGGGGGCACTGGGGCCATAGGCGCCCTGCAGGGCCTTCACCAGGGCGATGGCCTTGAAGTGCTCCTCCTTCCAAAGGAGCTGAGCAGGATACAGAGGACGCAGGGTTCAGACCCCAGAGGACAGCCCAGTCTCTGGAGCCCTGAGAGACCGGGGTCCACTGGTGGGGGTTGGCATTCTGACCAGATTCCTAGGCACCTCACCAGGTGTTGGCTTTCATCTTGGGTGGAGACAGTGGAAGGAGCAAGAACTGATCTCCACAGAGGCACACCCCACCAGAAAGCTTCAGTCACGAAAATACACGAAGCTCACTGCTGATAACTGATGCGCCTCCACTTAAGACCGTGGACATTTCAACAGAAATAGCATGGGGACCTCCTGCAGGAAGCCTGGCTTGAAAGGCTCTTCCCTCCCACCAGCAAGGTCACACTGGGCCAGAAATGAACTCAGCAGACTTGTGCAAATTTAGCAACAGCAACTTTCTACAGTCCACAGAAAAGAATGGGAACAAACTGAATAGAGATGCCACAATCAATGCTAGAGTGAAGAGAAGCTGAAAGAATTCAGGAAGTTGACTCTGACTCTGGGTTATCAGTCTGAGCCCATGTGGGATACACAATAAGATCTGCTTTACACAAGACTCTAGGCTGGAAATGTGGCTTAGTGATAAAGTGCTTGCCTACCATGCATGAAACCCTGGGTTCGATTCCTTAGTACCACAGAAAAAGCCACAAGTAGCACTGTGGCTCAAGTGGATAGAGTGCTAGCCTTGAGCAAAAGAAGCTCAGGGACAGTGCCCAGGCCCTGAATTCAAGCCCCAGGACTGGCAAAAGAAAAAACAACAAGCCAGGCTCTGGTGTCTCACGCCTGTAATCCTAGCTACTTAAGAGACTGAGATCTGAGGATCACAGTTCAAAGCCAGACTGGGCTAGAAAGTCTGTGAGACTCTTACCTCCAATAAACTACTAGAAAACCAGAAGTGGCACTGTGGCTCAAGTGGTAGAGCACTAGCCTTGAACTGAAGAGCTGAGGGACAGCGCCCAGGCCCAGAGTTCAAGCCCCATGACCGACAAAAAAAAAACAACAATAACCAAAAAAAAAACACACAGGGCTGGGAAGTTGGCTCAGTGGTGGAGCGCTTGCCTTGCATGCCTGAGGCCCTGGGTTCGATTCCTCAGCACCACATAAGCAAAAAGAAAAAAAGCCAGAAGTGGCACTGTGGCTCAAGTGGTAGAGCACTAGCCTTGAGCTGAAGAGCTGAGGGACAGCGCCCAGGCCCAGAGTTCAGGCCCCACGACCGGACCCAAAAAACACACACACACACACACACACAACAGGACTCTGGTGGTTCCCACATGTAATCCTAGCTACTTAGAAGGCTAGATCTCACAACTGAGGTTTGAAACCAGCTCAGGCAGGAAAGTCTTTAAGTCTCTAATCTCCAACTAACTACTAAAAAACCAGAAATGGAGCTGTGCTTCAAGTGGTAAAGCAGTAACCTTTAGCATAAAAGCTCAGAGACAGTGCTAGGCCTGAAATCTAAACCACAAACCAGTTTAAAAATAAAAAATAAGGGGCTGGGAAGGTGGCTCAGTGGTAGAGTGCTTGCCTTGCATGCCTGAGGCCCTGGGTTCGATTCCTCAGCACCACATAAGAAAAAAGCCAGAAGTGGTGCTGTGGCTCAAGTGGTAGAGCACTAGCCTTGAGCTGAAGAGCTGAAGGACAGCGCCCAGGCCCAGAGTTCCGGCCCCACAACCGGACCCAAAAATAAATAAATAAATAAATAATTAAAAAAAAAGGGGCTGGGATGTAGTTCAGTGGCAAAGCGCTTGCCTAGCAAGTGCAACATCCTGGATTTGATCACCAGTACCAAAAAAGAAAAGACAAAAAAATACAGTTAAAAAAATAAAGGAATAAAAGAACCATCTCATAAAAACAAAACCAACAAAGTAATAGGAATACAAAATGAATTGGGTTTTGTGTGTGTGAGTGAGTGTGTGTGTTTGTGTTTACTAGAACAGGCTGGGCATTCCTTAGCTTTTTTGCTCTGTGCTATCACTCTCTCATTGTACCACACTTATATGTCCATGTTCAGAATTTTGGTGGTTAATTAGAGATAAAAGTCTCAGCTGGCTTCCAAGTGTGATCCTCAGATCTCAGCCTCCTGAATGGCTAGGATTATAGGCACAAGCCACAGGTGCTGACTAAAAGAATTGTTTTTAAAAGGACATGTTGAAATTTCTTTAACAATCCTTTTTTAGGGAGTGAAGAATACTGATGATCTCCTGCTATACCAGTGAGCCACACCACCAAAACAAAATTTACAATAAGGTAAAGAGGAAGGGAAAAAAAAAGGTAGAGGAAAAAAGAAAAGGAAGGGAAGTGGATATTCTCAAGAGCAGAGACACAAATGGCAATTTTCCTGCCCAGAGCTCACAACACTCAGACTCCCTGTACCCCAGGTGGCATGGCCAATTCCAAACCCCAGGCTCTGCTAAGTCTATCCAGGCTGGATCCAGTGTGTGCAGCAGGGCATCTTCCCAGAAGAGAGACTCAGTGCCACAGACAGCACTGACACCAGGAATTCTCAGGGCCTGGAGCATCCCCAGAGATTCATGACAACAACCGAGGAAGACCAGGAACCCAGGTCACAGCACCCAGGAAGGAGCCAGCACTGGCACAGCAGGCCTTCTGTACCTCCAAGTAAGGGACCCTCACTTCTTTCCATGCAGACTCCTCCCCCAGGGCTCACCGATTCCAGTACATCTCAGCCTGGATGTAACCAAAGAAGCGGCTCTCAGGCTGCTTGCTGTCCTTGTCCTCATAGCTGTATTTGCCTGTCAGCAGGCCACCTGTGGAAGCCCCCAGATCATTGGGGATCCCTCAGAATTCTGGGCTGAGGGAGGACAGGGCAAAGGATTGAGGACACATCACGGACTTCATTGCATTCCTCAGCTTTACATTTCCTCCTTGCATGCCTGGCTGTGCTGGGCATCCACCAGGCCAGGAATGCAA